TGTCCAAATTTCTTAGTTTTGTTTCTAGCTCGTTTGATTAAGCAAACTGGGAATATTGGATCCGTCTGCTTGCAGCTGGTTACTATTTTTTGGCTTGGAAATGAGCCTCAGAAAAAAACGAGTAACATGACGATCAGACAAGTGTGTGATGGACCGCCAGTCGACCAGATGAACCGCTACGAGTGGTCACGACCAGTGAGATGCTTTCCGAAAACAATGAGAACCTCCAAATCTGGCCAAAATCACCCTCTTCCCGAAAGCACTCTTCCTTGTGGGTCGAAACCATTTGGCCGTTTCGTGCAGGTGAAATCGATATCAACCTCCTTGTGGGTCGAAACCATTTGGCCGTTTGTTTCGTGCAGGTGAAATCGATATCAACTGAGTTAAAATACACGGATGGGCCCTACTCAGAATTTATCACCCTGTAGAACGAATAGCTAAATATCGATCTGGCATCTTTATGTCCGATCGCCTTGTTCAGCAAATTTGCCTGTAGTCGCTTTTGACGGGTGTTCACCCTGACACTGGTGGACCAAACAAGCGAAAAATCTCTGACGTGTCTTGTATTCTCTCTTGCCCGTTTGCTTGTGACTTCTCAGATAGGTTGTACTTCGCTCTGCACCTCTTCTGACGGCCAAGTGACCATTTCCGGACTCATCGTAGTGACTTGCAAAATATGCGGGAACACATAGGTCTCTAATTTATGTCCTTCCCGTTGGATTGTGATTTGAATGCCCCGTGTGCTTGAAGAATGTCACATATGCGGGAACACATAGGTCTCTAATTTATCTTCTTCCCGTTGGATTGTGGTTCCAATGCCCCGTGTGCCTGAACAATGTCACGATTTTCAAAATAGTCTCATGAATACTTTCCAAGGCTGCTGTACCTAGTATAATGAAGTCTGGATCTCTCACTCTCAAGGATACAATTGAGGTGCGGTTTCCATCCCATGAAAGGGGATTGGCCATATAATCGTATCCTGCTATCTCGAAATCATCTGCTGAATAGTGCGTTTCGCAATAAATTCAAAACAGAAAGCGCCATTCGTTGACTAACTGGCTGTCTGATTGATTGATTGATTGATTGATTGACTGACTGACTGACTGATTGATGGGTTGATTGGTTGATTGATTGGTTGATTGATCGATTGAATGATTGACTGACTGTTATTCTAGCAAAGCTTGTATCCAAATCAATAGTTTTGTAGGGTGCATGACCATTGCCACTACCCTGATCAAAGCAGAAGCTTGAATGAAATATCCACAACAAATATTTTGCGACCTGAGTGACCAGGCTGCCAGTCTTTGTCATCCACTTCTCTCGGAGAACAATCTATCTCTCAAATATCTATCTATCTATACATATTTAAAATAACTTTGGTACGAAGTCATTTCGTGCCTCCTTTCCCCGCTAGAAGCAAATCTCTAGGATACTCTCTTTAGATGTAACCATTTGAAGGCTTACTGTTTGATTCACGGCTTTTGACGTGGGGTGGATACGCTTGACGGGCATCCTTCCGAAAATTAGATACTACATAGCACTTATTCAATTATTCCGCCTTGGGGTTTCTCCAGGTACTTTTGCACCCAACCTGTGACACCAGCACAGTAGTGCAGTTGCAACAGTAGTCAGCACGAAGTCACAGGTCATTACTTGTGAATCTTCCAGTAAATACCTCTTTTGGTCAGATTTGCGTTGTTTTGCGGCATCCAAGAATAAAGTGCGCACTGGGTGGACAATTTGCACACAATACTACAACCTTAGATTTAAGACCCTTCTGGATACATGGTTAACAGAACTTGGTATGTGTCCATTCCACTTGAATAAAGGAATATTACTGAACAATAGTCCTACAGGCAGTCCGTTTTATGATAGGGAAGTGCAACAGCACGTTCAAAATCTGCGAACCATCTGCGGGATTAAAGGGTTCCAATCCGCATTTAAGGTCTTGATTCGACCTCGAAAAGACGGTCTGTCACCTTCTGGGAGAAATGTATTCGTTGTGATTGATTCGGGGTGGTAGAATTCGTATCTACATCACTGTAGTTTAAAAAGTTCTCCTTCTGTTCTGGTTCAATTATTCCATCGAGTTCACACCAAAAGAGGAATTACTGTAACAACTACACCGAGACAGGAGGACTGTTCAGACGACAGCTATCGGGATATGAAATGTGTTTGGATTTTGTTCTACTGATGTGAAATCAGTAGCACGAATTGTGAATTCATTCCCGTAGAACGATGAGATCGGATATGCTTGCGCAAGGCCAGCACAGCAACATATCCATGTGCAAGCTACTCCCTACATATTTTGTCTAAAGAATGGGTATCACTCAACCTGACCCATTGCATGGCCATGTAAGGTGCCGCCAGATGGTATCCGGAATGCGGGATTTTCCACCAAATTTGATTGCAACGTCTGCAAATGTTAGAATTGATTTTGGAAGCGCTCACAACGTCAACTCTACAACTGCCTCCGAAAGACCCACTAGTAGAAGCCTCCATATTGAATGGGCGATATTCTGAAAATTCCTTGAGGTTTTTGTGCTGGACGAGAAACCTTACCCAATCGGTATAAGGAAAGGATGAGTATTTTGGAATAATATAAATAAATACGGTTACTGGTATTTGAAGTTCGGGTGTTAAAAAAGACCAGGCCACGTTGACAAACAGGTGGAAGATAGGTTAGCATTAGGCTAACAGCACTGTGACTTCCACCCATCGAGTTAGGTTGAGCCTTGTTACTAACCGAGTTAACTGCTGGTAGCAGAGCGATCATGATTGTCTCATTTCGTTATTTTAGTTCTCACATCAATGCGCATAGACTAGTTTACTTCGCTCCAGGAAATATCACTTTCCGCCTTGCTCACGTGATTCGCCAATCCGCTTTGACTGTTACAAATCAGACTACCATCCCAACGTGACATGGCGTTGCAATCAGTTCAAACGCACTACATGGTTGCTGGTCTGTTCGCTGAGCTTGGTAGTTGGATTGCAAACGTTTGATCACCAATCGAAGTGACACCGTCAGTGCAGGGATGACGATGATGATGAAACGTTTGCAATCCAACTGTTAAGCTTGGCGAACAGACCAACAACCAAGTGGGGCACCCGAGCTACCTATATTCTACGACATTGCCAAAATGCACCACAGTTTGAGGATAGCGCACTTTTTCGTGATGGTTGTTGTTGACTTTTGGGGTATTTTCATGGATTGTGGATATTTACGGTGGAACTGTTTAGTTCCGGGTCTAAAACTTCATTTGAGTAGTCATTATACTTGGCTTGATGGATTATATGAAATACCAGTTAGAACAGTAAAATCAGTAAGCATGCTGATCGAACGCACTCACACTCGCGCACAAACACGCACCTGCATAAAAATAGACAGAGTGCTGGAAGAGTTGTCTGGCTGTGCGCTCAAGAATGGTTATTGACCCTAAGATGTTACGGTCCCTCTGAAATACTACAATGCTATTGAAAAGTGGACAGAGTTACGCTCATAAAGTGCGCTGAAAGACTTAACTCACCCGTGCGATTCTCACTGCACTGCATACTGATGAAAAGAAAAGTGGACAGAGTTACGCTCATAAAGTGCACTGAAAGACTTAACTTACCCGTGCGATTCTCACTGCACTGCAGACTGATGAAGTGCAACATAGGGTTGACGGAAACTCGTAAACTGCACCTTCCTGATGAGCCCTAAGAAAAGCGAAACCGGTCTTAGGCTGTCAAAGAGTGTTCAGCAACCCTTGAGTAGTCTATTACGTCTATGCAACAGGAGCACTTTGTAAGCGAAGAACTATCCTGATACTGGAAACGGTAAATGATGGGGTGTACCTTCCCATCCACCAACACAGCTTACAAATACAAGTGGAACGCACCACGATACCCAAAGTCTCCTGTGAAACACCATTAAACTCTCAACTATGATTAGTCTGTAATAAGTTCTTTTCAAGTCATCCAATGGTTGACACCCTGAGGTGCTCAGGAGGAAAAAGAGTACTGTTACTTGGTTTACGCACCCATATTCAGCAAATATGAATACTGTGGACAACTAATTCAGACTTGCATCAGCTCTGGCAATGAAAGCAACCAAGAAAGACTGTAAGACATCTGAATGACTTTGTTGGATAAACGAGTGAAATGGTACAGGCCAGGAAGGATGGAAGCTATCCGGGTCACTGAGAAACCCTTCAACCTTTGTTACTGAGGATCATTCAGTGTTTCTTATCAGCCTTGTTGTGACGTCATTCCACCACAGTAATCCCAAAGCATAATGGGTCCAGGTGTATTTGCGTCGGTTCTTATTGAAGCTAGATGTGCAAAGTTAGTCAGTTAGTTAGTTATTTGGTTAGTTAGTTAGTTATTCGGTTAGTTAGTTAGTTAGCTACCTGGTTAGTTATCAAGTTAGTTAGTTAGTTAGTTAGTAGTTAGTTAAGTTAGTTAGGTAGCTAGTTAGTTAGTTAGTTAGTTAGTTAGTTAGTTAGTTAGTTAGTTAGTTAGTTAGTTAGTTAGTTAGTTAGTTAGTTAGTTAGTTGGTTAGTTAGTTAGTTAGTTAGTCGGTTAGTCATTTAGTTAGTTTGCGCGAGGCATCTGGCATACTTGCTTGAGATGTACTCAGGATGTCTGGACCACAATACTGTGATTGTGTTTTGCCCCCAGCTTCCCCCCGTACAGATTGACCTGTTATTCAGTCGATCAATATCCGCTTCAAGGAAATTCTCGCTTCGTGCTATACTGGACATCTCTGTGTTTTATCACTGGTGATTTACCGGGTGTCTGAAAGGACCGTATTATAGTTCAAGACCACGTGAGCATACGCATGGCTGTTATCGGAAGAATGGGCTTCACCGTTTTTTCCTACCCTGGATTGCGTCACGTGGAATTTATCAAGCTACGCCTAATCAATATCAAGGCGAGTCGTGTACTGAATAGTTTTCCCTAGAGGCTAACTATGACCTTCGGCACCAGTGAAAATGACGGTAGTTTTCAACAGTTCTCCCGAATTTTGAGTATTTTGAACAAAATGCTCACAGAGTGACGTCATTTCGAACAAACTGTGGTTATTTTTCCTTCTCATCAATGAGAAGCTAACTGAACTAGAATTAGCGACATTTTTTCCACCAAGTGGAATCAACCTGATTATGTACACATCACGTGTGAATTTTGCTGATAACAGTGAGTTGAAATGTGGGCATTCTTTGTCACGAAAGTTGGCACGTCTTCAGATTCAAATCTTCCGTGTAGTCCAGGTGTCGACTTTGAGGGAGAAGTGCAGTTTCTGATCCCTAAAACAAAGAGAACAACCAAGAGCAAGTATTCAAATCGATTTGGGAGGAATTTAGTATAAAATTACTGTCAGATGATGTGAAAAAACACAATAATTCGATTGTTCAGTAATTGGCATTTCTATTCAAACGATCGTGAACGCGACGGGATGCTGATTCACTATACTTTGCTATATTGGAAATCACGCAGTTTCCGAACAAGGTGATCCTAGTGGATAAGTGATAAGTGATAAGTGAGGTAAGCGTACGAATCTCGAAGGCTCGGTTGGCATTTTCCAATCTGAAACACCTATGGCATCAAAGCGACATATCTGTGAAGTTAAAAGCCTTGTTTATCAGGCTGCAGTTTGGGCTGATTTCGCTGTATGACTGTGAGACCTGACTTTTTTGGGTGGCGGAACTGAGACGCCTTCAGTTCTTTGACCGTCGCCGTCTCAGAACCGTGTTGGCTTGTACCAGCAGACTTGCAAAGAGGCAATTGAGAAACGAGCTTCCGGTAGTGCAACTGGAACTTCTCTGTCCAGCGCCAAAACTACGGTGATTGGATCATCAGTTGCTCGTACCGTCATTGTAGGTAACTTGGAATGATTGTGGCAGTCAACCACTAACTAACTTCATCACCTTTTATAATTTTTCTCACTGTAAGGCTTCCAAATAAATTGTAGCTGCATGGCAGTAAGTCATCGGCGTTGATGATGACCCTAGCGAATAAAAGTCTGTACTTCTACCGCGTACAGGTGTTCCAACCGGAATGGCCTTCCGTGTGAAGTCATGACAGGTACAGAAACACTTGTTGACCCAAAACCACTAAGACACTTCTTGAGGTTCCATCATACTTCGGTATATATTTAGTAATGATAATTCGTAATGTGTTGTCACTAGGGGAACTCATAAACACAAACCAAATCGACATTTGTGCAGAAGATCTTCTTGGTCTTGAACGAGGGGAACAGTCACAGAAAGTTTAGATCCAAGCATTGCTTTAGTTATAAGTGGTTTATTTCACCCCTAATTATCTGGCATGTTAGCAGCAAACCAAACAGAATTTCGGATGCAGATTGGTCAGTCGCCAGTCACGTGACAGCTGTGAATGCACTGAGTGTTTAGGGCAGCTAATAAGTTTCATCACTGGGTGAGTAGTGGTCAACTTTGAGCCCAAATGGTGTTAAGTTTCATTATCACGTGCAAAACAATGAGTCCGGACAAATACAGTCATTTTCATATCAATTTGAATCTCTGAATTTCTCGTCTATGATTCAGCTGGGTTCCAGATGAGTCCCCCGTGAAAACCAAATTGGTATACAAATGAGTGCATCTGTCAAAATCTGTCCAGGTGAAAACCAAATTGGTATACAAATGAATGCATTTGTCAAAGTCTGTCCAGTATGGGTTCAAGTAGAACAGAAAGTTGATGGGGACTTGAGGACTGCCCCTACTTGATTGGCTCCAAGAAGGGCGAAGCCGGTCGTGGGCTGTCGAGGATTTCTCAGCAACCTTATGAGTAGTGCATCAATTCTAATCATGGGATTTGTTCAGCCGAATCTAAAAACTGTTGAGGATATGTAGCAAGAGTGGAAAAACAGCAAAATATTCATTCTTTCAAGTATACGATGACTTCACTTTCAAGATGAAACCTCTTTCAAGACGTCAAAAGGTGCTCATTGCTCACAACCCACAAGTAATTTGCTCAGAGAGGGGAGAACCCCATGTTTCTCCCGAAGCTTTCGTTTTTATATTCATCAGTCAAAAAGCCTGTCAGTAGTAGATCATGTGACACAAAGTGTTTTATTAAGCAGCTTTATATCTTGCCTGTGTTGGTGATTAGCCTCTTGAATCTGAATTGTATAGGATTCATTCTAACATGAGATAAGCTGCTTTCAGTCGTTTCAGTCGGTTGTTAACCTCCCAGAGCACAGAGATTCGATTGCTCGAGGTACCGTCAATTGTCCTTTATCAGTCGAGGATCCAAAAAGACAGCTGTTGGCGATGAATATCAACTTATAGTGCCACATCATCATCATCATCATCGTCATCATCATCATCATCGGCATCTCACCTGATGCAAAGCTTCACCATAATTTTCGATGTCCATTGTGATTTCGGACGGCGTTTAGATAAGAGTATTCGTGTGAAGTACGGCGACCATCTGGCAAGCCCCGTAAAAGTCGCAGTTCTTGGCTCGAGATCACTGAGTAATTTTCACGTGCTTTAGTGCTTGGGGGAATAAACAACCAAATTAAGTGGTGTTATTTTCAACCGGTTGGAAAAATAGCATGAAGAAGATGGACATAGAATACGTTTGAAAAAAACGTTAGAAATTAATAGACTGAGATCCCTCAAACCAAAAGCAAGATAAATATGAAGGTTGACCCATTCTGGAGGTGGGATGTCAGGTAACGGTAGAGTCTTTTAGGGGTAGGTCTCTCTGAACGGATCTCTTGTTTTAACCCCTTCCTCAGGAACGACTATACCCTGGTTGGTTGAAGTGCCCTAATGCTTTTTGCCTCCGTAAGTGTTGCCTTCAATCTCGAGATAGCTCAATGACTAAGGCACCGGTCGGAATATCCGTGGTTCAAACCCAGCCCAGTCAAGCGTTTTGAGTGTCCTTTTTCAAGGATCTCTAAGTCAGTTCCATGTGTTCATTTCACATGCCAGCTGAATCGAGTTCAAATCTCCGTCAAGCACTTGAGCATTTCAACCCTCTTTCACTCTGTCCTGATCTATCCAGGAGGAAACATCAGTGGCCTGGCGGAGTTCCTCTGTGTGACCATCCCGTTGATCTGACGTTGGAAAACTCTTGACTGGGCCACTGTCACGTCCAACAACTAGTCTGAAACATGCCAACAATGAGGCCCGCTTGACAAGACCGACCTTAAATCACCCAACTCACTAGACGGGACTGCAGATAAAAACGGTGGAGATAACATTCTTCACCATGAACATGAATGCATAAAACAGGCAAAATCCTGTCAAGGTAATATTACTAGCCAAAGGCATGAATGACCCTTTGATCATTCTACTGAGTAATCAGTCGGGAAAATCACTATCCAGACCGAAAACACTTGAGAACGGCGGTCTAGCTTAATAAAGCTTCGGAACTCCGTTTTCCTTAGACTCCTCGCACCCCGCTCGTGTCACACTCTGACTCTTCCTGGTGTCCTCTTGTGATACATCGTCTACGCAAGCTGCGAACCATCGAAGACTGGTGTCTACGAGGTAAGCCGCGTGCACGGTGCAGAGACAGTGTACGTCAGGCGAGATAGCTATGAATGTACCTCAAATGTACATCAAATCTTTTGGATGTTTCCTTCAAGAAGTGATAAAGAATTAAGTCAGACTCACAGTGACATTTTTAGTCTCATTAGACTGTATAAATTGTCCCGAACTTCAGGCTCCTTACCACTCACGGCAACGGGAATCGAGCTGGGTGACAAGCCGCAAATGAATGAAAACTACTTGAGATACAAGTGCAGTTGGTTTATTTCACCTAAACCTCTCGTTCGCAACATTCCTCAAACGAGTGTATTTCACCAAGTCAACTTTATGCTTCAGTCGGGACGTTAGTCACTGTAGTGTTTATTGAAACGGATTTACGAAGGCTGAATGAAGTGGTTAGCCACCTACGGAGTTTGGTAGGGATTAATCAGGCAAGATGCAGTTCACGTAGGCTATTTTAATTCAGCTGATTCACATCAGGAGGCCATCGAGTACTCCACTTAAATAATACGCTGTATGTTCATTCTTGAGACTGTCTATCTATATAATCTGTCTATCTCCACATTCTATCTATCTATCTATCTATCTATCTATCTATCTATCTATCTATCTATCTATCTATCTATCTATCTATCTATCTATCTATCTATCTATCTATCTATCTATCTATCTATCTATCTATCTATCTATCTATCTATCTATCTATCTATCTATCTATCTATCTATCTATCTATCTATCTATCTATCTATCTATCTATCTATCTATCTATCTATCTATCTATCTATCTATCTATCTATCTATCTATCTATCTATCTATCTATCTATCTATCTATCTATCTATCTATCTATCTATCTATCTATCTATCTATCTATCTATCTATCTATCTATCTATCTATCTATCTATCTATCTATCTATCTATCTATCTATCTATCTATCTATCTATCTATCTATCTATCTATCTATCTATCTATCTATCTATCTATCTATCTATCTATCTATCTATCTATCTATCTATCTATCTATCTATCTATCTATCTATCTATCTATCTATCTATCTATCTATCTATCTATCTATCTATCTATCTATCTATCTATCTATCTATCTATCTATCTATCTATCTATCTATCTATCTATCTATCTATCTATCTATCTATCTATCTATCTATCTATCTATCTATCTATCTATCTATCTATCTATCTATCTATCTATCTATCTATCTATCTATCTATCTATCTATCTATCTATCTATCTATCTATCTATCTATCTATCTATCTATCTATCTATCTATCTATCTATCTATCTATCTATCTATCTATCTATCTATCTATCTATCTATCTATCTATCTATCTATCTATCTATCTATCTATCTATCTATCTATCTATCTATCTATCTATCTATCTATCTATCTATCTATCTATCTATCTATCTATCTATCTATCTATCTATCTATCTATCTATCTATCTATCTATCTATCTATCTATCTATCTATCTATCTATCTATCTATCTATCTATCTATCTATCTATCTATCTATCTATCTATCTATCTATCTATCTATCTATCTATCTATCTATCTATCTATCTATCTATCTATCTATCTATCTATCTATCTATCTATCTATCTATCTATCTATCTATCTATCTATCTATCTATCTATCTATCTATCTATCTATCTATCTATCTATCTATCTATCTATCTATCTATCTATCTATCTATCTATCTATCTATCTATCTATCTATCTATCTATCTATCTATCTATCTATCTATCTATCTATCTATCTATCTATCTATCTATCTATCTATCTATCTATCTATCTATCTATCTATCTATCTATCTATCTATCTATCTATCTATCTATCTATCTATCTATCTATCTATCTATCTATCTATCTATCTATCTATCTATCTATCTATCTATCTATCTATCTATCTATCTATCTATCTATCTATCTATCTATCTATCTATCTATCTATCTATCTATCTATCTATCTATCTATCTATCTATCTATCTATCTATCTATCTATCTATCTATCTATCTATCTATCTATCTATCTATCTATCTATCTATCTATCTATCTATCTATCTATCTATCTATCTATCTATCTATCTATCTATCTATCTATCTATCTATCTATCTATCTATCTATCTATCTATCTATCTATCTATCTATCTATCTATCTATCTATCTATCTATCTATCTATCTATCTATCTATCTATCTATCTATCTATCTATCTATCTATCTATCTATCTATCTATCTATCTATCTATCTATCTATCTATCTATCTATCTATCTATCTATCTATCTATCTATCTATCTATCTATCTATCTATCTATCTATCTATCTATCTATCTATCTATCTATCTATCTATCTATCTATCTATCTATCTATCTATCTATCTATCTATCTATCTATCTATCTATCTATCTATCTATCTATCTATCTATCTATCTATCTATCTATCTATCTATCTATCTATCTATCTATCTATCTATCTATCTATCTATCTATCTATCTATCTATCTATCTATCTATCTATCTATCTATCTATCTATCTATCTATCTATCTATCTATCTATCTATCTATCTATCTATCTATCTATCTATCTATCTATCTATCTATCTATCTATCTATCTATCTATCTATCTATCTATCTATCTATCTATCTATCTATCTATCTATCTATCTATCTATCTATCTATCTATCTATCTATCTATCTATCTATCTATCTATCTATCTATCTATCTATCTATCTATCTATCTATCTATCTATCTATCTATCTATCTATCTATCTATCTATCTATCTATCTATCTATCTATCTATCTATCTATCTATCTATCTATCTATCTATCTATCTATCTATCTATCTATCTATCTATCTATCTATCTATCTATCTATCTATCTATCTATCTATCTATCTATCTATCTATCTATCTATCTATCTATCTATCTATCTATCTATCTATCTATCTATCTATCTATCTATCTATCTATCTATCTATCTATCTATCTATCTATCTATCTATCTATCTATCTATCTATCTATCTATCTATCTATCTATCTATCTATCTATCTATCTATCTATCTATCTATCTATCTATCTATCTATCTATCTATCTATCTATCTATCTATCTATCTATCTATCTATCTATCTATCTATCTATCTATCTATCTATCTATCTATCTATCTATCTATCTATCTATCTATCTATCTATCTATCTATCTATCTATCTATCTATCTATCTATCTATCTATCTATCTATCTATCTATCTATCTATCTATCTATCTATCTATCTATCTATCTATCTATCTATCTATCTATCTATCTATCTATCTATCTATCTATCTATCTATCTATCTATCTATCTATCTATCTATCTATCTATCTATCTATCTATCTATCTATCTATCTATCTATCTATCTATCTATCTATCTATCTATCTATCTATCTATCTATCTATCTATCTATCTATCTATCTATCTATCTATCTATCTATCTATCTATCTATCTATCTATCTATCTATCTATCTATCTATCTATCTATCTATCTATCTATCTATCTATCTATCTATCTATCTATCTATCTATCTATCTATCTATCTATCTATCTATCTATCTATCTATCTATCTATCTATCTATCTATCTATCTATCTATCTATCTATCTATCTATCTATCTATCTATCTATCTATCTATCTATCTATCTATCTATCTATCTATCTATCTATCTATCTATCTATCTATCTATCTATCTATCTATCTATCTACTATCCTATCTATCTATCTATCTATCTATCTATCTATCTATCTATCTATCTATCTATCTATCTATCTATCTATCTATCTATCTATTATCTATCTATCTATGTCTAAATTTGTACTCTTTATCTCTAACATCATCGGACACCTGACTCACCGCTTTCTCCCGAAAAACGTACCATAAATTTGATAAAAGGAACATTCCCACAAGAAATACCAGATCAGATGAGTTTCCTTAGCAGCTCTCAGCATTTTTGGAAGCCGATGCGGAATAAAGAAGGACAGCGCATGTGCTAAGACTTATACCTATGAATCGGCCTTTGCGATATTAGTGTTCGTCCGGCCCTGTAATGCGGCTTCAATTTAAAGTAAAGTTTTGAAAGGCGTTCGTGATTACACCACGTCGGAAGTGCAATCTCGAAGAAGACTACAAATCCACCACTGTAGATCTACTCTTTGGAGGTTGCGGACGCCCGGAAGGTGGTACACCAGTGCATCATCATCGTCGTCGTCATCATCATCAGAGACAGCAACATCACTGTTGACACTGATAATTCCCTGCCGTACAACCATAAAGTTCATCTAAATATATTCATAGCCTTGGGGTGGAAAGAAGAGAAAAAGAATGGGTGAGAGAGGGGACCAAGCATTCTGGATTTACGCAACAATTTATCAGCTCCCGCCTGCAATGCGCAGCTACCTACCCCACTCCCCAAATCATCGGTGAACGAATCTGCGGCAGCTACAACCACTGTATGACGAGTACGCGGTTATAACAGCTGACAGTGATGATGATGATGAAGCATTCTGAAGTGGTCAAACTTCCAAGCGCCCAGTCAGACAACCTGAAAAGTAACTGACTGTACAAACGCCACTGATTTCGATCAGTCGCTATTTCTTGCAATATCACTAGCTAGGCGCAGTGCATCAGGACCATTCTGAATGAAATTTATCTATGAGCGATAATCACTTTCGCCCACTCATACCAGCTATACCACCTATCTCATCTCGGCTTGCACAAAGCATTTTAGATCTTCTAAGAAACTCCTGGAGCAGATGCAGCAGTTTCAGCACAAGCCTCACAAATACATCCGAATTCCGTGTCTGCTTGAAGCTGAGCAAATTTGACACTGGGTTGAATGCTGCAAATTGCTACCCGATCAGCCATCCACGACACTTTGATTCCCATTTGTAAACCCCTCCGAAGTGCGTCTGAAAAGAATGTCAAAACTTGAAGTCAGCTCATCATGGCTCATGAACTCAGCCAACACTGATTCTTGTTCCTATTTGGAAGTAAGCGAAGTCGAATGGAGAGTCCACCTGACTGGCATATTTGCTTAACGCCACTCACATGACTTTCGTGTGATCTAGACTATTGCACTTCGCAAAAGTAGCTCAATACCTCCTTTGTTCGATCTTCAGCTCACGGCGATTCGATGAACATTTCGCATCACGAAGTTTTAGTATCATTTATTCGAATTTTGACAGCCCTAATTCTTGACGGGAAGCTTAGGATGGTTCCCAAAGCAGTTTGCGCGTCTTGAGCAACTAGACGATCGATATCCATCGCCTATGGAGAGAAAATAGATGACCAAAGAACTTATAGCCTTACATATTCACAGTGAACTCACTCGATGCATGGGAAATGACCTGAAGGATTTTTATCCACATCATCCTTTGAGGATTTCTCCGGGTTCTTGCAGTCTGAATCAATACTTTTAGATGTTTTGTTCCTCGGATTTGTTGATGTTATCGACTGTTCATTTGTGTGTGCGAGTGAAGATGGCTTCCAATCAGTTTTAGCCTGTGATGGTGATGTCAGCTCCATTGCTGAGCGGACTGTGATTTCTGTGTGTGGTGTGGAGTGATGCGGTTGTACGCGGTTGTCAACAGTTCTGACTAGTTGGCTCGAACGTGATTTCCGAGGCGAAGAACGGTCACCATAGGGTAAAACCGTTTTTCTATCGTTTGTTGAATAAACAGTACGAAAATCTTGGTAGACTTTGCGGATATTGTTGGAAAAAGAAAAGAATCCAGGGTATATGACAAAATTATTGGACGAAAAGATTGGCCGGTCCAAATGATAGTGTCGACTGAGAAAATGAAGCATCTTCCTTGATGGGGAATCGATTGCCAGACTTGGGGGTGCCACATTTTCAACCTGTGTAACAAAGGGGACGGAGCCAACACATTAGTGTCTGCTGGTTTGCGCCAACGCACAGAACACAGTTTTTGCATACTGGGAAATGAATGACTGAGTTAAAAGACTTTGGAGACGTTTCACAAGAAGCAGGAAACCGGAGAGTTACCAGTAAGTGGGTAATTTATAGGGCGCGTTTGCCTAATCACAACACAAGTTCCCGGGCCCAAGTTGAATTAGTTCAGTACCACTGTGTGTAGATGGTGAGAATTTCAGAAGATTCAAGTGAGCATCCGTCCCAAAATTAAAGCCCACCTTTTGGAGGAGCGTACAGTCATTATGGAGCTGTTGAGAATCACCAGAGTCGGGAGATTCAAACCCGCGGCCTCTCGGTTTGCAGTATCGTCGTTCAGCTGTAAAACCCTTTCGGTTCCTGACTACCACACCACCCGAAGGAAGTATGAGGGCTGGGATACTGCCAAGTTGCCAAGCCTAAGATGGTGTTCTAGAATAACCGGAAACTAGTAACTAACCCACATTACCCATTGCTAATACCCAGTAAACACGCCACCGGTGGCAAAAGGCGGCAAAAAGGGGTGGCATGTTACACTTGCCACCGGTCGCTATAGCGACCTGGTCACCAACATCATCAGTAGCATAACATGAGTGCTCAAAGACGATGCTTCACAGTCGAGCCGAGAGGGGGAAGTCGGGTTCGAATCACGGACCTTCTGTTCATTAAATTCGCGCTCCAACCACTTGAGTATCGCATTGTACGGTTTGGCTGCGAGCGGCTGAATGGCGGTGTAGTTAACTTACACACGGTCAGGATGTGGCACCAGTCACACTTCAGTCATGTAAGCACTATCACTTAGTTCTGTGAAGACTTTCTCGTTGAGTGTTGACTCATATGAGAAGCTCATACGAGTTTTAAAACCTCTCCTCTGAGCAGACTAGTAAGAGCCTACTAGTGGTTATGGGATTCATGAGTCCCATTTGACCTTTCGTGTTGTAGTTGACGCAACCGTACGCTTAGGAACAGAAAGTAGTGTATAACTATTCCGTCAATCGATTACACCATGAGTTCCACGTAACTGAACGATCTTTTCTAAACGCTGATCAGCCGTCTCTACCTTGAAAACACAATAAATAGTGACAAACAAGGGGTTGGGGATTAGAATCTGCCTGAAGGACAAAACAGTTGTACGGTGCCTCTATGGTTTGATTGGTTGTTTCTTATAGATGGATGAGAAATCAGTTCAAATTCTTTGATCACCTGACTCTTAAGTTCTATCGGGCTTGACTATTCTATAGAGGGTTGAGACGGTTAAGAAACGATTTGGCCGAATGTGATTCAGGTGAACAAAACCGTTAGGTGATTTCATCCAATTTTACTGGCTAGAGGAAGGGGTGGGTCTATTGGCAAAGAATGAAACAGAGTGACAAACAATAGGTCATTTGTGCATGAGTCTATAGAGGCGACCTGTTAACACATACAGTAAACCACCCCCTCTTTCAATCTCTGCCACATATGTACCGGACAAAACTCTGCTTCCTTCGTCTACGTCCAGCCTCTAGCTTAACATAAACCCCGAAGATAAAATGCGCCCTCGCCCAGAATCTGGACGCATATCTGTTCTTCTCTTGTTGTTGGGCGAACCACAAAGTGAGTTGCTAAGCGAATACTTGGGCATCTCTCCGAAATATCAGCAGACTCAATGGTCTAGTCAAAATATCAATCGCGTCACACACAATTGACACCGGTCACGTGATCGACCCAAATTAGTCATTCCATTTTATCCACCAGGTACCTTATAGACTGGTGTCGGTTGATCACAGCCGAAGCAGTCGCAATGCAATTGCGAATTCCGATACTACGCTGTCAAAACTCATTCGTGCCAGTAGTGTGTATACCTTGGTCGTGTGATGCGAATCGATGGACCCAGCCGTTCAATGACCCCCTAGACCAATTAGACACGACTTTTGGTCTCACTGATGAATATTCATTTGCGTTCCTTCGTTTTTGATTGAAAAATTGAACTTGGCTGCTTATTATGTTATTTATATCTCTCTAAACCGTTGAATAAATACTAACCGAACGATGAGACATGAAAAACAATATTATTCGTTGCTCTGTACTTCTGAAGGAACGAAACTATCAGGACAGGGGTACTTAACCCTATCGCACCTCCGATGCAGACTGACCATTATGGTTCCTCAGTTTACTACAGCCTTCAGTAAAACCCCAGAGAGTTTGTTAAGACCACACCCACAACACTTTCATTTGAACAATCCTCCTCCTTTCCTGGAGAAGGTGTTCTTGATAGTCCACAATGGAAAGGGAAGCACTGGACCCGAGTTTGTTAGTTGACGCGCCATACATCGGAAAACAACTTAACCTCATTCTTTAGATAACATACATCCTTTAGATTCTCATTTTCTTTCAGATAGTCTACAAAAAGCTAGTTTACCTCTGGATCATGGGTATGTCCATTTCGAGAGAAAGATATTTAGTGAGAATTTACACTCAGCAAAATTCTAAGAACCATTTTTCAATCCGCATAGCATCATTGTCGTCCCGACCCATTAAAAGGCAATTACGATAATATTTGAAAACAGTCCCCTATTTTGTAATCATTTGCCTCTTTCCTATGGCAGCCTTTCAATCATTCTGAGTACTCGTTCTTCGTTAAAGAGCAAATTATTTTCAAAAAACTTCACAGCATTTGTTCGAAGTTAGGCCTAGGCAGGAGCTTGAACTTTAGTTCGACTCGTCTTTTTTTACAACTGAAGTAAGCGAGCCTCACACTTCCTTGTTCACTTACCCATCTCAATGAATATAAGGGTGAAATCACTTGAATATCAAGCCCAAGCATGATTTGCGACTGACGCGTGGCTGTGTCACCAGTCTTCTGTCCGTGTCTGGCTCCGTACATTTTTACTATGCGTCGTTTGGGTACTGAGATACAAATGGGTCTAACGCACGCTTATAGACAGTCCTTTGTTTGATCTGAGATACGCGGTGTTGCCATGGTTACCGTCGGGGATGATAGTGGCAGTCGTTTGGTAGAATCACAGCGGGATGAATTACATCCTGGCTGTGAATAGGCGTTTTAAAGCAGTTTTTGCTCATTTACCTCTTCAAGAAACCAAGTAAAAGTGCACTCGTGAGATCAATGTATTATTCAGTGTCACTATTCGCCTTGGTTTACCATAAGACAGATATGAAAACAGAAAGTTTTAAATCTGTTCCATTCAAAATATTTTTGTTCAGATGTTCTTTTTAGATGAGAGACGGTTTCTAGTGAGGTGTCAGAAATGACCGATTCACAGTTAGGTGCAAACGAGTAGAAAACTCGTGGACTAAAATCACCTTTTTCACAACTCGAAGGCCCCGGAGATGCTTGTCCGACAAGGTTTAAACCAAAAGGTTGCAAGACGACTTTAAAATTCCAGTAAAAATTTCATCTCCTAACTAAAGTCTGTCTGGACCACAAAACGGCCGTTGCCTATTCCTCGTGAATCATCAGTAGTGCGCATTTCACTAACCTCCGGGGCATTTTAAACCACCACCCTTCTGACTAGTAGTTGAATACTCTACTGTTTGGCCGTCAGCAGCGAATCAGTGCTATTAATTTACTGAATGTGTTAGCTTTGCAACCTGTAATTCGAGTTAGTTTACACGAGAATGTCAATAGTACGCACTCTACCGATCCCGTTCAACTGTAGCATTCTTTTGATGCCTAAAGACCATGCCACCCGAAAGAAGCACGAGGGCTGGTATACTGCCAGATTGCCCAAGCCTAGACAGGGGAAGTTGAGAAACTGACGTGCAGTTCGAACCAAGGGCCTTCCTATCAAACCATTGAGCCATCTTTCCCCCTACCGATCCCAAAAAAATGAACCCGTAAATTTTCAATCTGGAGTAAAACAACACTCCTATCTATGACATCAGTGTAAGTAACATTTAGGTCGGAATACCGTTGTAGATAATTGATATACACAGCAAGAGTGCACAGCTGTGCACGAGTGACAAATACTGCTTCACCGAGTGTAAAGAAGATTCGAGTCGAGTTAAACAAGGCTATTCCATATAATTGATCTATTTGGCATGCCATATTTTGTACTTCCCCAAAATATTTTTAGGAACCCGAAGTGGAGATGCTTCCTCAAAAGAATCCTGATGAATGGCGATTGAGGATTGATCGGTGTATTCGTACAAGTATATGTTCCAAAATTACGAACATGTGACTTAAAATCGTTACATACCTAACTTGGCCCTCATAGCAAAATGTCGACCGAAAAAAGGATGCAGAACAATTCGATAGCGCATGGTCAATATTGGGTAGTTTAGGAAATGCTTCAAACAGTTGCTTCCAGCAATGTCCAACACTTTTGCTACCATGCTAAGTGGTGAGATTCGGTATCACCCTATAGTGCAGAGATTACAGATAGGTGGTGCATTATGACACTGTTTATGGACTACGCACAGTTTTTAAATGTGGGTCAGCCTGCATTAGCATCCATACATTTCTGTGTAAACTTACCGACTTACCGTGGCATTAAAAACCGGATATGAACTCTTCGGTAGCCCAAACCCTACGTACCCGAGTCACTGCTGTACAGTAATACATTTCATATCGTTTAGTCAGTCTTGAACTATTATACCGAAGTGTAGTTCAAATGTAGTGGGAGAGCCGAGTAGAGAGAGCCGATAACCCCATTAGGTTGGTTAACAGAGCACCCGTCCGTGAAGCAAGAGCCTTATGGTTTGTATCCACCCCTGTGTATCTTTCATTCACGTCATATGCAGTTATCCTGAATAAAGTTAGGCAAACAAATTCCAACTGCTAAGTCAATAAGTTGGCTTGAGGTTTGCGGGTTTCAAAGAAAAACCTAGAGCCATTCGGGTCCAAGAAAATCATGTTTTTATTAGCTGATGGACAGACGAATTCTTAAGAACCTCAGAACATACGGTGTGCGAGCCGCAACTGTTAGAAGCCCTGTTGGCATGAAGCAGTGAAAAAGGTGGCAAGAATCAGTGAAGAATAAGACAAAGCAGAGGCACCGTTGGACAGACGGTCCACCATCGTCCCATACTTGGTATGTCTCGCATTCACAAAGCGTGAAGTCATGAAACCTGTGACAATAAAATATCTTATCGATCATGTCAGTGATCATATGTATCAGGCTACATTCAAGGTTGTGTTGGTATGCGGCGGCGGACAGATGATGTGGGGAAACTTCAGGCCTTTCACCAGCCGCATGTCAGAAGCGTTGCTTATTACATCGGATTTCCTCAACAAATTTGCAAGGAGGTAATAATGAAACGAGTGTGCATCAGGAGCTTAAGTCGCAGGAAATTCGGTGGCGGAATCATAATCTTCTGCAAGGATACGTTCTGTTTTCAGTACTTCTTTCACATCGAAGCTAATTCTAAGGTGGACGAAATGTGTCATGGAAGAAGAGTATGAGGGAAGTTACGAGGGACTCGGATGTTGTCGTTCTCCATTCCGTCTACAAAAAAGCACCCACGACTGTATCTGCGCGTTTTATGCAGGCACCGAGAAACGGAAGCAAGTCGACACCCGTGGTATTCTTACTTTAAATTCCCTTCTAGATTGCCTGACAGAATGTTCGTGGTTGTAGGCACACCATCCCCCTTGTGGTGGGCCAGCACCGGGTCTTTGTTCCTTAAAGTCCATTCATTTTTTGATTCTAAGGCTATAAATGTGATTAAATGCATCTAATGGTTGCATGGCAATGAAGCATTATAAAGACACCGATATTTCTCTCTTTGGTGATGACGGTGATGATGGTTGTGACAACAGCGATGACGCCGTCTTAAAAATTTAAGGATAAGCAGGTTTAGAAAGGTCCTTGTACACTCATATCATAAGTATACGCAAATAGGCATCTAGCTCTAATCCAAAAAGAGATTGTTTTGCTTTCTTTATGCTTGTTTTATGCGACATTTAAGAGCTCTTGCATTCGTCATAGGTTGTGAATGAGCGTCGAGGACCCTAATCTCATTACTTACTTCTGGGCAACTCAGAGAGAGCTTAATGAGGTGGTTTCTTCTAAACAGTGAAGTATAAGTCTCGGCCAGACTTCCGAGGAGTCAAAAACCGATGCGATGAATTTTAGATCAATTGAAGGGACTGCATTATTTGGGGACCGCAAATGTCTTCAGGAATGTACATATCCCAAGTACACTTAGAAAAACTGGTGTCTAAAAAATAACTGCAGGAGCCGGACTAACTGAAAAAGACAAAGATGGAAATTTGCACATGAGAACAATTCAAAGAAATTGACTTTATTCATCATTACCTGCAGCATGTAGTCAAACAGCCTCTTTCCATGACCCTTTCTCTGACAGGATTCATGAATATAAAAGTCCAGAACACACAGTGGCTCAGCTTCTGTGCAGAGACCTTGACTGTCATGCATAAAAAGCCGCTTCTTTCCAGTTTTCAGAAAGCCTATAACGCTGATTTTATTACCGAATCACGGTGTGACATCGGATAATTATTTCACCTACCGGTTCAAATTCACGTCAGATAGTACATACAAATTATGATCTGAGGCAGAAAATTTCTTGAAGTTTGTTACAACATGGGGCAAATTTTGCGCCTTTAGATGCAATAATCAGGTGCAGCCAACATACATGTGCTGAATATTCACCCATTGTGTCTATCAACTCCCGGATGTTGTTCCATGTAGTATTCACGTTTCCGTGAGTAAAAGGAGGCTTGTTCAATAAATCAGGCGTCAAATGCGCTATTTCATTGTTTAAAAAATCACGGATTCGGAAGGCGAATTCCATTCTTCGGCGAGGTTTCTATGATTTCAAACGTCGCGGCGCTTATGTAGTCGGTAATGACCTAGTGGCACCTAATTCAAACTAGAAGTTAAAGCTCAGTTCAGCCAGGTAAAATGATTTTTCGGGCGCCCCACTGTTTTATACGCTGCCGCTTCATAAGTCTGGATACTTATGTTTACTATGGCTTCCCGATCTGTGTGATTTTTCCGCGCGAGCGGTTTTTCAAGGTCAGCAATATACTATTTTTTGCAAATGTGGAGAATAATGGTGACGTACGTTGGTTTGTTCGCTCAGGTGGGTATTTTGGTTGAACGCGTTTAATTGCTACCCGGAGGAAATCATAGATACTTCCCGAGTGGAAGTGCGTTTTCACCCGCAGTTCCCACTCACCCCGACTAAACTCCCCACGCCTCCCGAGGCCTGCAGATTGGTTTGCTCGCTTTTGCAAACGGACGTTAGTGTTCTCCGGTCGTTTGGAGTCGGATAAGCATAGTTATCAATACTAGAGTTTGCGAGGACAGCTCACTTGCGGGTGATGTTCAGCCAGTCTGCCTTGAGGTGAGGGAAGACTTGTGGCACTGTCTGTGTGCTCCACGGCAATGAAGGGAAGTCCTCTGTGTGGTGATCACCATTTGAGCCACACTACTGGATATGCATCGGCTGTTGACAGATTGTTTATAACCAGAGTTCATGGATATTATGTGATGTGTGCCTGCTGCCGGAGAGATTTGGGCATATGAGAACAGCTTAACATAAAATCATATCCTAACGCAAATATGACAGCTACTAACTGCACCGCATCATCTCACTCCCAGACAAAGAGAACCATTTTATGCCGAACAGTGGATCACGCCCCTTCCACAAAGCCATACACTAAAGAACTCTCAGTCTGACGTATGCTCCACAGATTATTTGGATATCCATGCGATTAATACGAGAGAAGGTTTCCTTCGTCATGCGCCTGATAAAACACCGGGGCACAAGTGCTTTGCTAGTGTGTACAGGTGTCTGGTGATTTAGTCCATCACAGAGAGCGAGAGATTCACTTCGATGGTGAACTGCTGGGCGTATTTTGGCAGATGTCAGATCGGTGGGGCCAGGTCAAAACGTTCCCGTTGGGTAAACTAAGCGTGCATTTGCGATTCACCCGAGTTCGGAAGTGAGGTTGTTTTGTACTATTTTCATATACGCTAAGCTGTCAGAAAGCACTGCTAGCTGTACGACATCCGCAAATCTCAGTTCTAGGAAATCTTAAATGCATTCCGTCCTTTAGCTTGCCAGGACGGTGGCGCAATAAGGGTTTCCTAATTTTTCTAAACGGCACACGAGTCCCCTCAAGACCAGGACACGCAACGCCTGAAAGTCCATTTTTTCCGATTTATTAAAGGTCTCTCCGTAGACGAGATAGTTGAAGGCATAAAGGTCTGCCTAAACCTCAGTCATTTTATTTTTGACTCAATTATATGCTCTCAAGAACAAGGCCTAGCGATGGGATCACCAATATCCCCGATTTTGGCCAACATGTACATGGAAGACTTCGAACAGAAAGCTTTAAACGGATTCGAGTGTCCACCAAGGGTGTTCTGGCGTTACGTAGATGACACGTTCGCTGTAATAAAGCGGGATAGGGTGAACGAATTCTTTCAATATCTGAACACATTGGACCCTCACATTAAGTTTAGCATGGAGCTAGAGTCCACATCGGGTACACTAGCTTTCCTCGACTGCATGACAAACATGAGTGGTGGGAAATTAAAAACCACTGTATACCGGAAATCAACAGATAGTGGTGCGGTCTTAGACTACTCCTCTGCACATCCAAAAGCAGTATATGCTAGCATAGCCTCAGCGATGTTTAGGAGAGTGAGAGCACTGTGTACAGAGGAGGTCGACCGAAGAGCAGCACAGCTCGAGGTAAAAAAGCGACTTCAAGATGGCGGATACCCAGTGGGTTTAATTAAGCGACAACTAAGACGGGTATTGGTGCCAACACCAAGGCCCAACAAGGAGTGGATCGGAACAGCGGTCATTCCATACAAAACAGGGACATCTGAAGTCATTAGAAGGGTACTGAATACGGCTAACATTAGAGTAGCTTTCCAGAAGGGGAAAACTTTACGCTCGGTGTTGGTGCATTTGAAGGATCGCCTTCCGGTTGATAGGACTAGGAACTGTGTATACAAAATAAAATGTAACGACTGTACGAAGGTTTATATAGGTCAGACAGCCAGGGAATTGCACACCAGAATCGGTGAGCATAAGCGTTCCATTAACAAACCACCGAGAAACGCAGAGGAATACCAAGCGTTAGTCAAAGATTCAGCAATGGCAGGGCATGCTCTAGACACTGGGCATAAGATAGATTTAGAAAATGTGGACATCCTGAGACGGGGTTTAAGATTCACACCACAGCGACTGGTGGCCGAGGCGGTGGAAATCGCCAAGCATCCCAGTGTGAATAGAATAGAGGGGGTAGAACTTGCAAACGTGTGGAGAGCGGTCTTAGATCAGCCGAGATGACACGAGGCGGTGTGCAGTTATCAGCGAAATCGCCTGGGTCTAAAAGTACAAAATCCAAGTAGCGTTAGATCCAATTAACCAGCCCACCCCCATCCCCAAACTAATTGTCCCAGCACCCTTGGACGAACACAGGTGAACGAAATCTGTGAACGACCCCAAGAGGAATTTTCCATTAAGGTGTCCTAGACTGAAGAAGCAGGGACGAAAAAATCCGGGTTCATCATAAAGACGAACCCCCCCTAACCGATCTATCGTAAAGCTTAGTCATCGCACTAATCAACAAACAGGGACATCAGACTGAACACCCAGCACTGATCACGTCACTAGTCATAAGGGATCTCACGGATTGGTTCCCTGGCTGCCTTGAAAACCCAATCAACCTACTTACTTACTCACTTGGCCTGACGAAGCTTTTTTTGTCAAAAGCGAAAGCCCAGCCAGCAATAAATCCACCGAGTGTTTACCAAACCCCTCTGAAATAAATATCTACATGTTGTACGTTTTCTGCATGTGAGCTGCAAGCCCACAATCCAGATACGCTACCACTCGCAGTGGGGTAAACTATCTCCCGGAGAATAGTAGGTTAAATCACAGTCATTATTGTTCCAGCAAGCAGTATGATTAGGTGCGCCCCCCGCAGTGTATGTGGCGCAAGGAACAGTCCACACCTCTGATTCGAACAACTGCCATTTCCTCTTGATGGACTTCAGAAACGGCTCAACTGGACGGCGGACATGGCGCTGTTGTTGGGAGCATGAATTTCCACGAACGCCGTAGGGAAACCGATTGTCCCGACCACTGTTACGCCGACTTTGAGCTCTCGAAATAGCAGACCTCCGAAAGTAATCGACGGTACTCGGGAGGAAGAAGTTATAAGTCGATGTCGGTTGTCTTTTGTGGAAATTTTTCCTCGCCGATGCATCAAATGACTGCCGGTGATAGGGGGTCCCTCATTCTGTCATATAGACTACGCGAATGAGCAATAGAGTATAAAAGAACTCTTTTCGACCAACCACTCTACTTCTGCCGCTAATTTGACATAGCATTGAGGCTTATGGACTACCAGAGCATCGTAAGCGACAGTGGCTGAATCTTCTTTACATCGGGCTCAACAATGCTATATAAGCCAACGAAAACAACAGATCAAGTGAAACAAACACTCCATTTTATAACTACGCCGTTGGCCTGAAGACGTAAGCACCTATTTTTGTTCTTGCACGCTGATGACTTCCTCAATTGCAGCTTAGCATTTTTGGACCAGGGATACCAAAATTAATCTGAATTCTGTTTTTTGCGCTCTGGTGACGATAGAATAAATATTTGCATGATTTTTACGGCAATGCAGCAAATCCTCAAGATGAATGCGATAACTGCGTGCATTGAGTACAACGTTCACGTTGGTAATACACTATGAGCACTTCTACACTCGTCGCTAAATGGCGGACTGACGATCTCTGCGTAAGACCTCCAACAGGACAGGCCAGCCCAGCTCCGCGCAGTCTAGCAGGCATCGGTGGGAGTCTTATCATATCTGCTCTAAATTTCGCATCCTGGGATACCACTTCTGCAAATTTCCATTCCAGCAGGACTACTATAAACAAATTTAGGCATGGGACCAATTCGTTAGTTAATTTTTTCTTGGGTTTTCAGCATGGATGAGGCTCGCTTGCTGGGCCGAATAGATAATAAAATCTCGAAATATCCGCACGCTAACAACTGAGATGAAATAACCACGATAGGTGATAAGCTACCGCAGTTTGTGTGCCGACTTCTCTCTTTGCTTTCTCCTTATTCAAAAGATAAAGTAACATATCAGGAAAGCCAAATTGTAGACTAGAATCCTACGATGTCCCAAATTTATCAAAACCATCAGAATCTACCAAAGTTGCGGTAGAGAACCCGTCAATCATCCGGGCTAGCAAAAGCATCTGCCGATTGGACTGCGAAGTCAATCAATCGGGCAGTGATTACCGATGATGGGTTTTCAGGCACATCCTCAAGCAACAGCCGACGACCGTGTGTGTTCGCACAAAGCCGATTGGACAGCCTGGATTAAAGGCAAAGTGTGCTTCAAATACCTCTACATCTCTTGCAATTTTTGCACTCTATTGTTCTGGATGAAGCTGTTGTCTTCCACGTCGGCGCGTCCTTTTTCCAAAGTTAGGGCACTGAATCAAGATCAACAACTCGTTACAACAATGTCAGCCAAAGTGTCCTTCACTGCCATTAGATTTTCTGATATTTTTTCCGCACCCTGTATATGCTATCAGCGAGCACTTGTGGAGGAAAGTTACCCTACGTACAGCCTTTCTGGCAACTAAACTTTGGTTGGGCAATAGGATGGACAGTCCGTCGGATGGTCTACGAGTCTACTGGGTAAAATAGTACGTGACACCGGGGACGGTTTTGTCTGATTCAGCCAACGAGCTTTACACGCCACCCAGCGCTCTTCTTGTGGGTTCCGAAGTTCATTACACTTGACCGTCCGGCCGTCAATAACTCTTGTTCGCTTGATGAGATAGCATATACCCACCCAGTTCTCCAAAACTTGGCTGTTTATTTGACGAGCTCCTCACTGCTTTCGCCGCTTACTCGTTCTAAATACGTAGCTGGCGAAGTCTGTTCATATTGGCCCGTACTGGTCACCGGGCCTCATTAGTCCCATCGCATGCCAGTTCTCAATTCAAATGCAGCTACTTTTGTACAACTGGCTAGTGGTCCGTCGGCGATATGTTTGATATTCGTTCACTTTGTGTACTACGCGACCCACCTCAATGTGCCTCTATCTAAAGCGGCAGTCCACCCGTTCTCGGTTGCCTCCCTAAGTCACTCGACCCCAGGTCTCTTCTCAGATTTTGTGTGCAGTAAGTCCGGTCTTCAAAGACTGATGAATTACGCGCAAAAAGCCTTTTTCTAATCACTCACGATGCACAGAAGGTCGTGCTTTACAGTGAATATCGCCCGGATTCAATAGGATGCGCTCAATTTGTTTACGAGCACTTTATGTGGAGTAGTACGCAACCGAGTTTGTACGCAACCGATCGGTCACGAAAGACTAGTCAGCAGTGTGACCAACTGGCACTCAAGCAGGATAAGGCATCGCTCATTCTTTAATCACGGGATCAACATCACGTAGTCACATATATTGACTGGCTACTCGAGAAACGACGTTTCAGACGGAAATATCCAACCTATCAACCTAGAGGTCATGCCTTTGAGAATCCCTGGAGTTTCGTGAGATGCACAATGCTGGCGATTTCCAATAAAGATGAGACAGCTCTGCAGTGTTTTTCAGCGTTCCAACACAGAGTGGCTTCACTTGAAGGACAAAATCTCCACTTGAGTGACTAAATTAAAGTAAAGAATGTATTTACTTTGATTACAACCGGCAAAAACTGGAAGGGAAGGCTCCCTTGGGACAGAACGGTTTGCGAATGCGCCATGAAAAACACCGTTATTTCGGTTCTCGAGTGCCCACCCCAGGGTGACCGTGAAGTGAACTGCCTCAAACGAATTTAGACTACTTTGTTCGATGTGAAGATAAAGTACTGTGAAGTACTCCATAGAATGATGTTGCCAAAGCCAAAACCAGAGCTGTATGAGCAGGGAGCTAACACAGGGCCTGGCCTCGGTAGGAAAGATTACCATTACCCGACCATTACTTTTGTCTGCTAACCGATCGAGTTTTTCACTTGCGTTTCCGTCCCGTAACCTTTGAAGAGTGTTTCAGGGTTGAGGTTTTTTGTCGCATACTCGACCCAAATCGATTAGGAACTTTCTTGCTTTTATTTACCAAGCTAAATGTGACTGTGTTCACACACACGGATTAAATGCTTGTAAAATACACTAGAAACGAGTCTTAAAGAGGCATTTGTGGAGTCTTTTGGAAATGGAAATTAGTGATGCTATCCACAGTTATAAACTCCTCGGTGTTTAGGTTTGGCAGCTTTACAAGACTCGCCCGCAATGAAGGATACAAGTCGGTGGTACATGTGGGACAGGTGTACTTTCAGGACACGCTTGATTTCGTTGCTTGACCATAACATAAATTCTAGAGGACTTTTATCACTGAAGAAACAGACAAAGGAATCGCAAATATCTACCCGGGGGGTCAACATATGTGGAATATATTGCAAGAAACGAGCGACAAGTTTGATGACTTCATGAAATCAACTCAAACACGCACCGTAACTCGAGTGAAAGTTGGAATTGAGGGGCTTCTAACCATACAAACTTTGTGAGAGCATTAGCCGTGCCAAAGCATCAAGCAAACAGCCAATTTTTTCCAGGGGATATGTGCCGACGACGGTTCAAACCGACCGTAGCCCGAAGGGTTGTCTCTATCGCTACCCACAATGCGAAGTAGAACCGTGCAGTCATTCAACTTCATGCGCAATCATATACAATTGTTTTGATAAGTTGCTCCGCCAACCCGAAATTGCTTGAGCGGAAGGCAATCACTGGCATATGCGACCTAATCTTACTGCATGTGAGCCACGAGGGAAAGTGGATGTCACTCAAAAAGAAGTGGGGTGAAAAAATTTACAAAATGTGCAAACAAAGGATATACCGTAAATTAAGATAGTGGTAACCGGTACGCAGATGTACAGCGACGCTCTTTGCCAACAACATGGCTGTCCACTGGACTCATATCATCACCCACCCAAAAGTGCATTCTAAGGTGTAGGTTACACTGGCGCCAAAACTCTGCAATTTCAAGTTGTGCTTCAATGAGAGACGGGAGTTTGGCACGTGTCATACCGATATTTAATGGCTACTTTCTTTTCCATAATGGTGTGAGTAATTCCCGTTTGCCAACAACATGGCTGTCCACTGGACTCATATCATCACCCACCCAAAAGTGCATTCTAAGGTGTAGGTTACACTGGCGCCAAAACTCTGCAATTTCAAGTTGTGCTTCAATGAGAGACGGGAGTTTGGCATGTGTCATACCGATATTTGAATGGCTACTTCTTTTCCATAATGGTGTGAGTACTTCCCGGTCTATTTGACGCTGCATCGGTGGTTCACTGATATTAGCAGCTTCCAGTTTTCTAAATGATCCTCTAGTGGTCGCGAAGGACACATTATAGAAAATATTCGCGGGAAACTATAGACACATACAGGTTAAGGTCCTCCATCGATTAATTATTTTGAGAATAAAAAACCGGAAATGGTCGCCATCCCGCGGGGTATTGGTAGCTCGGATGCTCGGACGGTAACTGAAAGAATGCCAACGAAGCCATATGGCCGACGGGGGAGGGGTATGGGATAAATATACAAAACTCAAACTCAACATTAGATAACGAAAGGGCCCCCCTCGAATAGTTGTATGGTTGACCCGGAAACTCATCTGTTTCGAAAACCCCACGTGCCTGTCAAAACAGCATACCTATTTCCAGTGCAAGCGTGTTCTCCAACATTGGCCTCGGGTATTCAGCTTTCGGCACTAAAATATTTACTTCTGTTCATTACGTTGGTCCATTTCGTACTGATTATTTCCGGACAAAATACCGAGCTTTATTGATATCCAACTTACGTCCCCCTTTGTAGCGGAACACAAAGTTTGAATGTCGCCAATCTTCGCTTAAACACCAACGACAGAAATCACTCGCATATGTCTGCACGGTTAGGAGTGTGAGTTAACGCAAAATACTACTGAAGGGATCAAGTCCAAAAAAACTCGTCTGACGCACCTCTTTCAGTAGACAGACTGATGCTCATGGGTAACGGCTCCCTCGAATTCGGGTCCCAGTATGTGTACGGGCGGTATTTGGCTCCGTTCAGTTGGGAATTAAAGGAGTCACTCACTCGAGCAACACAGCAAAAGCAAGGACAATTGCTGGTATTCTGTACACTCATTCCTACTTGAGATATGAAACAGGTTCCCATATGTCATGTTGTTGCAGCGTCAGACACCGTTTGCTCAGGTGTATCTAGTTCACACACATCACTCATGTTGGGTTATTAGTGCGTGAGAATAATTCCCAGTGCACACCTTTTTCACCGGCCAGTCTTTTGCCAAGAGGTACTTCGTTATAAATCATCCTTCACAGGATAATCACGTTATTTGCGCAAAAAAAAATTACAAGACCGTTGAACGCCTATTTTAACTTGTCATGTTATTTTGAAGAATTGCTCTAAATCGGTTTGTAAACCATTTCAAATTGCATGTGTTCGTTACAAGGAACCCAATAGAATCGCAAATCAAGGAAATGACAGGCCGATTTTTCATTTAGTCAATCACGTCAGCGGCAGTCGTTTGGTTCGGATAAGCAGTAAAATCATTTTATTTAATTCTACTTATTATTTTTAGTAACCAAAATTCACTGCAGGTACAAATAGGACATGCGCCGTTATTCCGTCATCACCAACATCGACAGCATGATATAAGTGTTCAACACTCCTGTTTCGCTGCCATACAATTATGATTTATCTGAGAGCCTTATTTTGAAAAAAATAAAAGTGGGCAGGGAAGGGCCGTAGTGCTACCACAATCAGTTTGTGGTGCCCACACCTCCAGGCACTCATTCAGGCAATTTGGATAGAAATTGACAAAAAAACGCCACATCTTACAAGCTTTCCAACCAGGGTCAGTGGGGATGGGTCAGCGGTCCCCATCCTGGAGGGCGACTAGCACCGACGGTACCCAGACTTTTCGTAATCTCTTTCATAGACTCTTCCGCCCCCCCCCCCCCCAGCCCAAAAGAAATAGTCAGTCTGTAAATTCCTCCCCGAAAGTCCTCGATTATCCGTGAAGTTGCGCGCAGTTCGGGGAATAAAGGGCCCCGATTACAGCTTAACTCTGCAAGCTTATGCTCACTCTAAAGATATTGCTCACGGTTGCACACAGCTTTAATCCATTATAGTGGTATGAAGAAAAACCACGTATAAAATAGTTCATACCAGTGCTGGTCCAAGTGATTAGAGCGCGAATTTACTGACCGGAAGGTCCGTGGTTCGAACCCGATCTCTGCCTCTCGACTTTCCTTGTCTAGGTTTGGGCAACCTAGCAGTATCCTAGCCCTCGTGCAACCTTCAGGTGGCATGGCATTTATGCACCGAAAGGGTGCTAAACCTGAAAGATTTATTTTAATTTTTCTTTATAAATGATCTGCGAACCTGTGAATGAACGCCTGAACGAACGAATGGTTACTTCTGTGGAGTCCATCAAGGGGCGCGACGAGCATTGCATAAAAATATCCTACAGGGCGGGCATCTCGCGCTTAATTATTCTTCCAGCTTCATTATCAGTTGGCTTAAGCCCCCCCTAGGCAGTAAAAATGGTCAATTAACTGAAGTGTGCTTCCTGTACAATTAAGTCAAACCGCTGAAAGATTCAGTATGTTCCAATTAGGAGTGTTCAAACGAAGGTATCGGGTCTCGAGGTCACATTGTAACTAATCCTTGTCCTATAAACCTCCCACTTTTACGGCATCTCTTGGATCATTCTGGATTCAAAATATGGGCTCAAGTCGGCGATCCCCACTCAGATGTGCCAAATAGGGCGACGGCATTTTACTGTCATCAGTTTTATCAGTAGACGCAATCGAGTAGACCCAGTACATGAAACAATCCAAGGAGTTTGTGCTTGTCAGAGGTGAACCAAGCAAATCCGCTTCCCTGCGTGCACGCGATGGCTAGTTGTGACTAATTCATCCCGTTTTCTTTTACCCTCTTGAAGGTAAACAACTGCGGATGAGCTCTTCTCCGGTATATGTGCACACCCCAAACACCGTCACGGTCGTGATCAACCAGGAGCATTTGATGTCGACGTCCATTTCCACATGGTTTTTTATCTTCAGCCTATTATGAACGTGCAGTTTGGTCATCAGCATTCCAGACAGGGTCTACTTTATGCACTATGGTCCTAGATAATTGATTATCTCTTGGTGATTGTTGACTCTTTGCTAATCAATATAACCGAATTTACAGCTGACGCTGGACGACCTAGTTCGTCCGTCTCTCCAAGGAGGCACGTTTAGAATCCTACTTCCTCAGCCCGATTTACGCTGCATTGTGAAGTCGAAGTTCTCAAGCCTTAATGTCCATCTGGCTAGTAGTTCTTGTGTGTCCACGGCTTCTACCAACTCCGGTGGGAGTTGATGGTCCACCTAGACAATGAATGTGACGGCGACAAGATGGCCACATCAAATGACTACGATACTACTCGGTTGGGGAACAGTTCTCTTGGCTGCTGTGAGCTCCGGAAATGTTTACCCCAACACCACCGTTACTGGGATCGGCTGACACAGTAAATCTGCCAAACACTCGCATAAGTCAACGAGTGGATCGAACAGTATAGCTCACCACAAGAACCACCAATGCCCGGCAAGGAGTAGCAGAGTATAGATAACTATTTAAATAACAACCCGACGTGATAAGATTGCCAGAACAAGTTCAGAACAAAATCTTAAGGTCTAACACTACCCAGTGATGTTAACATAAGAGAAGTACATTCTGAATCACACTGGGGCATCGGCTCACAATAAAATCCCTTCTCTTTAAATCGAGGCAAAGATGAATGCTTCGGCGAACCACCAACAACTATTCAGGGCAGATATCTGTAAAAGCGACTTCAAAAAAAAACAGCCTTTCTTCCGCCAGGATCCACAAAGCAAGAACTGATTAAGTTGCACTACATCAAGAGCCCTTGTGAACATTACTCCCTCGGTCTTAGCAGAGGTCCGGCTTAGATTAAACAGATGTTATCCCAAACCCGTGAACTGTAGCGACGTATCAACATGTTCCATACAATAATAAGAGTTGCGTATTAAGACTCCTGTTCGGATGACAACTCAAAGCATGCAAAATAGATTGTTAGGCCCAGCCAAGAAAACAATTTGACCACGTGGCCAAGCATGCCACTTGGTAGCCGACAAATATTGCCTCTCCAAAGGGCTGATCGATGCAGCCTGACAGAGCCAGATGGTCTGACAAGCGTGAGCAGGAATTACATTTATTCGCGGTATGGTTATACCGGTAAGTGCGGGGCAAAGAATTGAAGGGGCTGCCAGTGTAAACTTTGTGGCATTTGGATAAGAGAATGGGCGTGGTTCGAGACGACCTTATGATTGGCCCAATGGACTCGATAACAGGAACTTGGGGGGTTCGTATTACCCCATATAAAGGGGCAAAACAGATCTCGCACTCACCTATCAGACCGAGGAATATCCAAGTTGAACATAAACCTCGATAGAAACAGTTGTCGACCTAATGAGGAGGTAAACCTAAGCACGTTGGGGGTTAATTCCTCAAATCATCCTTGCGAAGTACAGGACATTCCTCATGTAAATAAATTCGCATAAGCGTAACTATGCAGTGTCGCTGCCGTTTGGACAGTTCTCTTCTGTTCTGGTGCGATTAGCCCGGTTATTTCCACACGATAGTGGAGCAAGACTGAATTTTCGTATGAACTGATGATTAGTGCACATCCTTAAAAGTACCGAAATTTGACAGTAATCGTGTTATCACTTAAATTATGGCGTCTGGAAGGGGGAAGGTGTTCACGCTTCAGCAACGTAGCTAGTTCGACCGCAAATATCTATGACTGATCATTAGTAGTCGAGATTGAAATGGTTCGAAATTCACTCAGTTTCTAATTCAATCGCCAATCTAACTTTGTTTATATTCATCAGTGAATCATCCTGACGGCGTCCAAGCGATAGCGAAAAAATTCGGGTGATAGAATAGATACACAGTGTCACACCCTCAGGATGATATCTGCCAAAGTGTGTGCTCTCAAAAGTGGAAACAAGTGAGTCACAAATTTATGTAAAATGCCAGAGACAGAATGTATCCAATGAAAGAGCAGGTCGATTGAGAAGCACGTTTTGTGCTGAATCACTTAATCACCACAACTGGGGAGATGAACTGACATTCTTGGGAGCTAAAGCACCCATAGGAGTGCAGTTATTCGCCCATGGGTGGAAGCCTGGAATGAAATTTAAAAAATCGTTCAACTGTAGCACCCTTTCGGTGCCTAGATGTCATGCCACACGAAGGAGGCACGAGGGTTAGAATTCTGCCATGTTGTCCAAGCCTAGACAGGGGAAGTCGAGAGGCAGAGGCTGGTTTCGAACCACGGACCTGCCGGTCAGTAAATTCGCGTTGTACCAACTTGGTCCATCTCGCCTGGAATGAACCGTACTACATGTGCCTCAGTGCACGAGCCTCGTCTGTTTCACTAAATGAGAAAATTGGTAACAAACGCATTAGATAATTGCCCTGTTAGTCGTTCTACACAATGAGAAACTAAACTTTCATCTCCGGTAAGTTAGTCAAATAACTGCTCAGTGCAATTCCTCTCACTAGATGATGGATATAGGAGCGTTGGAAAAGATCTGGAGGTAGGATATTAATAACCAGTTTTCAAAAAGAAAAAAACGAGCACCCATTTGCACAAATCTCATTCTGTTTACAATCCAGGAGATATTGTGATTGAATGCTTGAAAACTTTAGTTACATACTTTACTAGGATCAACGATCAAGGATATGCACTGCTGATGAGCTCGGCTCCAGTGCTTCATCCCTTTTGGTGTGGACTCACCAGAATAACTGTGCCAGGACAGGACGAGCACTGTTCAAATATTCAATTCTACACCAATTAAGACGCTTTGGAATATCTACACTTTGTTAGAGAGGGAAGAGGTCTTCTTCCAGATTCATATGGTGAGCTCCCACGCGACGCCAGAAAGTTGAATGAAACGATTGTCTGGCACAAGCTACTAATGGGGATTCAAATCAATCACAACCAGGCGCGAACTCGAACAGTCAAAGCAGTGTCCAGAGAAGCGGCCGAAACACTGTACACTAATAAATCGGAGCGATTTTGCTTAATAAAATCACAGTTTCCAGGAGCTTTTTCTTGGTTGTTCTTGAAAGTCATGACATTAGCGAATGGTGCCGACCTCTCGAATTCATATGGTGGTTGTTTAGCCACTCAAGGTACGGGTTAACATCGCATCGTGTATAACTCAATAAACAGGTTTTCAAAACTCAGGATGGTGCATTTTGGGCTTCAGGTATCAAGTAGGTGTCCCCAGTTAGGACAAAAATCTTGGAGGTGAAACCCCACACTCTTGTCCCAACATGCAGCCACAGGCGCATACACAAACGCAGATATTGTATTCCAGCTGAGTTGATTGACGATGCCAGTACCAAGCCCTGTACCATTTGACAACCTCGATGTGAGAAAAAATATACCAGGTGCGTCCGGCCCGTGCTGATGGAGTAACACACTCGTTCCGTGTGTCAGATTTCCAAAGTTCCACCCAGACAGGACCAAGAATATGCACTGCTGATATGCGCTAATATGAGCGAAACTCGTGTCGAGTGCTCCCTCTTCATGGTGTGGAATCACCAGAACAGGAGGACCGTCCAAACGAGTGATGTGAATTGCAAACTATGGGGAGTTTGTAGATACCCCAGTTTAGGGAAAGGTAGACGAACTCAGGATAGTCATCCGAAAGCCCGAATTCAGTGAAAACGTTCACTCGAAGAATCGGAGTGCTGAACAAGACACATGATGTAGGCGACTTGTAAATTCAGCCAATAACAGCTTATATCATATTTTAGCATTCTCAACAGAAATATACCTACACAAAGAACGTAGTAGGTAGTAGGAGTCTAGACAGAGCTCNCACATGATGTAGGCGACTTGTAAATTCAGCCAATAACAGCTTATATCATATTTTTAGCATTCTCAACAGAAATATACCTACACGGGAGTCTAGACAGAGCTCAGGGGCGGCTGACACCCCCCACCCCCCGAAAAAATTTCTACGATTCTAAACTACTGCATCTGGGGGTTGACGAACAGCCTAGAAGAATTAAATAGAAACCACATGTTCCGTGTCAGCAGACCATCAGCTAAGCTAGGTGAATCGTTCAGCTGTACCACCCTTTCGGCGCCTAGATGCCATGCCACACGGAAGTACGAGGGCTGGGATACTACCAGGTTGCCCAAACCTAGACAGGGGAAGTCGAGAGGCAGAGGTCAGGTTCGAACCACGGAGCTTCCGGTCAGTAAATTCACGCTCTAATCATTTGGTCCATCTCGCCAGGTGAAGATGGCCGACATTCGGTGCAGAAACGCACATCAAGATTTAGAGCGAGGGAACGCGAGCGAAACGAGGCAAACATGGACAAGTATGACCACCGAGTGTTGCAATGGCCGATAAAAAAGAAAAAAACCGAGGCAAGAACGGAAGAAATGTATTTGAGGCCGGGCGCAGCGACAAACTACGGGTTAATATACACAGAAAAAACCACTGCTACGAGGGCTGGGCGAGATGGACAGGCATAATGGTCTGAAGTATAATGCATGAAATTCTGGGACCTAGATTTCAGACGACCAAAGAAGTCGTTAACAGTAGTGTGTCATGAGGAGAGGAGAATCACGGCTCACAAGTTTGGTATTGATGTGCATCAGTACTCAAGATCAAATCCCAAACCGAGTTGAGGCATCTCCGGGCCGTTGAACATGCCGCACAGCGAAAATTGGAATTCTAAACAGTGGAGAAAGCCAGAGAGAAAAGTTGACGGAAACGAATAGGACTGGTGAAAACCTAGACGACGAGTCAGACTCCAGACGCGGGACGTCTTGGATGAAAGACCAGCTGTTATTTATGCGCTGCTGTAAGCCTGCAAAGACCCAATCACGCGACTGGAGTGAGTGTGTGAGTGAGTGAGTGAGTGAGTGAGTGAGTAGGGAACCTTAGTAGTTAATTACGTGCACAGTGTGACGAAAGTTGCTGTCTAACGGCACTGGTGAGGACCGCCTCCTCAAGAGGAGCCTAAAGAGCGAGAAGTGCATGATAAATATAATATGACCCACAGCGAATGTATCAGGTGCTGTGGCAAATAAACGAATAGGGACTCATTAGAAATGGAAAAGCAGGTATTTTACAAAATTTGTCGGGCTTAGTTTTGACGCATAATTTTCAAAACAGAGAAGCGAACCACGAAAGTAACTGCTCACGTACTTCGTGTGATCTGAGTTGGGATGGAAACCACTGTATGACCAGGTACAAACAATAAATAACAATCGTTCATCTATAAAACCCCTTCCCGTGCCTAGCTGCCACGCCACCCGAAGGAAGCACGAGGGCTGGGATACTGCCAGTTCGCCCAGGCCTAGACATGGGGAGTCGAGAGGTGGAAGTCGGATTCGAACCACGAACCTTCTTTCAGTGAATTCGCGCTCTAACCACTGAGCCATATCGCTCCCCGTACGCTCAACAGAAACCCTACCCATTCGAAAAAACATCCCACAATCACGACCGGTTCTGAAAAATCGATCGATTTTGGTGGACAACCTCCAAGAAAATCAACACCAGATATAGCCAGGATACAAATTCCTCTGATATTAGAGATCAGAATCACACACTCCAGGACCAAGTACGTACTGGAGTAACAACATGGCCGACATGTTTATTTTCGGGGTGATCTGGAGCCTAAACTCACTTTTGTAGACACGGTACATGACCACTGAGATTTTCCTACTCCAGAGACCCTACAAAAGGATCGAAAGAAAATGATCTCTCTTAAGTGGGTCCTAGACCTAACAGAAGATTCAGCGGATAAACCCAAAGTGGACTTTACTGAGAAGCGGACCCATTTCGGTTTAGTCCCTTAGAATGCGACGGATGTATTTGGAATTAAGTGGTTAAACCGTCCCAGGACTTCGCTCTGATAAAGATGTCCTCCTCTACAGAGACCACTCCCAAGAGAACACTTGATTGGGAGCTTGAATAATCTTCCAACAGTTGAGTCCCCATACACAGAATGGGTCAGCTATCGGAAACCGCCCGAAAAGGGTAAAACCGGTCGTGGACTGTCAAAGAATTTTCAGCAACCTCACGAGAAGTGGGGCGGCGCGGGGCACTGCATTCAGTTGCAAAGAAACATCATAAAGGAGAAATTCAGCTGGGTTCCAGGTGAGTCTCTCGCAAAACCAAATTTGCTTGTAAATGAGTGTATTCCGCTTATTCCGTGCAAGAACATGAGGCTGAAGGGGACTACGGAACTGCGCCCCCTGATGAGCCTCAAGAACGACGAAACCGGTCGTCGTAGGCTGTCGAAGAATTTTCAGCAACCTTATGAGTAGTACGTTAAGTTCTTTCCATCCCATGCTCCAATATACTTGCCTCCTAGAAACTGTGACATGTGTTCTGAGGAACGGTGCCCCGTATACCGGCTCGATGGACCTTTTACTTCGCTTGTTTAACGGCTATTTTCTCCCAGAGATGACCCGGCTCCGAAAATATCCCCGAGAGCTGCTACCCATGGAGCAGTGTTGTCAGCAAGGTTTTAGTACAATGTGATCTAGTTTCTGTTGCACTGTTTGACCCCGTAGACCAACTGCAAACCAAGCAGTTCGTAGTCGATCTTAACTGTGGACAGCCAAATTTTCAATAGTCCTCCGGTGTGACAATGCCATTCTGAGTAGGGTAGTGGTAACATGGAGAATGTGAATAGCTCAGAGTCTGATTCATGGACGACATGCTTCAGCCACAGTAGACTGCGTCGCTAGACCAAGCTGCAGAGGCTTGGGATATGATAACAGAGGTCCGTGACATCAGTAGTGGATTGCCGGCGTCCCAACCTACTTTGAGACACAATTGGTCACATAATGCGAGTGTGCGTAGATGGACATTTCGGAGATGTGCATTGGTTAGCAAGACGGTCTCACGCGAGTTAAGTCTATACAAAAGAGGGCCGTGATTGGAGGCACGGCGTACCACCACTGGGGCGTTTTCTCCCCGGGAACCATACAACAGGTTCGGGAACCAGGGAGTGTGTCCTCTACCGTTTGATTCTTCCACGGAGAATGCGATGGCGGGTGGAACAACTGAGTCTTCGTACACAGTTTATAGCCTGATTGCTACCTGCATGCACTTCTCAAGCCATTGGCTCGTTCAACTCACCTCTTCCTTCTGTCAATCATACTGGCTAAAAACTTACACCGCGGCACGAAACTCCCCTTCGTTCTCCCCGGAGCCACACGATTCTCGAACCTTCTTCTATTATCTGTTTCCTCAGCCTCTTAAGAAATTCGGTTACTATTTGCCTACCTAGTCCCAAGTGTTACGCGTGGGAATGCTTGTTTTTTTTCGCGCACTTTAAATGTCTCAGGGTATTTTCACGTGGTTTTCTCCTATTTTTTATTACCCCAACAGGTGTACCCCCTTCATGGATTCTTCCTTTTCCCCTAACCTATTTCAAGGACAATCAACAGACGATCGTCACCGATAAATACATGGTCAAACGATCACTTTCCCCACAATGATCCCCAATAAGGAAGAAACGTGTTCTGGATTAGGTTGACCATAATTTGTAATCTCAGCAGCAGAAGAAACGTACTTTTATCTAAGTAGGTCGTCAGTGATAGACTGATCCTTGTCAGGTGATCCAATTTCGCCTTGATAAAATGTCCGTTCTGTTCATCTAACACGTACTTTGAACCCACAGACCAGGCAACCTGCTCAGTGTCCCGACTCCAACTGACCTGGAAAAATGACGAGATAAGCGGAAATGTTGAAGTTCATTGAAAGTAAGAGTGTCGGTACCGAGAAGATTAAGGAAGCCTTTTTGCACATGTGACAATCAACTCTCTGAATGAATCGAAAGATGGGGGTACGGTGGCCACTGAAAACCACCCTGAATAAATAAATGCAAAACAGGACGGTGTTGGCAGTGTTCACAGAGGTGTATCAGGCGAGCCGGGAGTGGCTATGACAACGTCCTTCAAACGAGCGGGATTTCCACTCACCGGTTTCAGTAATCTGTGTGGAGTGCTTAGATCCAAACCTAAGCTAAGGGCGCTTCAATTCATCGTTTTCTCCGATTGTTCCACGTCACGGGACTTCATAGACGTAGGCAGCGCGATGCGCTCCGGGGAGGAATGTTCCCAGTTAGAGAATGGTTATCAGAGCAGCCATTTGGGGTAGAACGGCAAAATGAAAACCTTCGGTACCGGAAATCGATCAATTATCGGTTGCTGCGAACTGTTGACTAGCCGTTTTATATCTGGTTGGTCTAATGGATTCAAGGTTTCCATGAGGACGGTACATCGGTGTTTCACAAACCGACACGATAAGGGAACCGGATATCTACACAGGGCTGGAGATTTGGTCACCCTCAAAGCCTAAAACCTGTACCGGTGCTCAGAGTAAAGCAACGAGAATGAAGAGCAGGTTTCCGCGTTTTCGTGTTAGTATACTGAAGCCAAAATAGTGACACCAAATGGAAACGGTAAATCTCGTGAAAAAAGTGTTCCTTTTAACCAGAAAGGATGATGCATACTGCAGAATGTTTGCTGAGCCTCGCCAATCGGTTGCAAACTTTTCGTCACTAGTCGAGGTGACGACACCAAGAAGAGACTGGAACGGTTTGTGCATTCCCGTAAGTCATTGAGCTACAGTTGTTAAATTCACGGCCGCTGGTACCCGGTTGGTCAATGGGTAGAGGTCTGACTAACGCGGGCCCCTGGTCCCCTAGACTGTTCTGAATGTCTTAGGCCTTGCGTTTAGGCTTTTCAAACAAAAATTGAGGACCCTAGTTCTCTTCCTGTCTATATTATGGCTACCTGGCCCACACATTTAGAAACAACCTTATGCTAAATCAACTGGTGCCATCAGCCAGGTCGCCTCACTTGTTGATGCGGCAGAACAGGTAAACGAAAAAAGCCTCTACTGATGCCTACCTTCTGCTCCTTTTACATATCCGCTCTTCTCTCCCTCTTCATACCGTTTTCAGCGACATCTCCATAGACACACTTTTAAGGACTAACAGATCTGTTCGCCTCTCATTGGCGTAAGCTGCAATGCCTATGGTTATGTCGGCCACTACGGAGGTAGGCACTTCGGAATCATTCTTCAAACCTCAAATCCTAACGCACATGACAATCTTTAACGTTCGTACTCTAAAACCAACTAGACAGTAAACTGCTGTGGTATGCGTGCTGGGCTTACTATCTATTGAAGTGCGCTGTCTCTCCGAAAGGAGGTTTTGAGACCCAAGTACGGTTTATGCTCGCTTCGGGTTGCGAACCTCTGGCGATCCAGAAGACGCTGCAGCTGGTTCCAGTGGGGTTGGCATTGTTCTGAGTCATCGAGCTGACGGGTCTCTGATTGAATAATTGCCTGTTGATAGTCGCGTCTGTGCGGTTTATTTGGCAATGTCTGTGAGAGTTATGTGCACGCGTCGATAATCACAGGCTGTTCATTGTATCTGCTTATGCCTCAACAGACTGTAGCTCTGGCACACTCAGAGACGGTTTTTACGGTGCTTTTGACGCCTTGTTGCGGCAGGTTAAGAGCTCAAATATTGTTGCGGTTGCCGGATATGAATGCACAAATGAGCAGAGAGAGTTCATGGCGAGCTACTCAAAGGCAGGTGTCTAAGCAGGTGTCTAACAAGGTTGCCTACTCTTTTTTCGTTTTTTTTTACTTTCGTCATTAATGAAGCGATGAGGCGAACAAGGGAAGACTTCCCCAATGCCCAGATCTCCGACTGAGAACTTCATCGAAATGGAACATGTGGACGACAGTGTTCATATCTTTGTAAAAGAGCGGAAAGCGCAAGCAATAGTGAAAAAGCTGACCAGGTCATCCGGTTCATCGGCCTGTGTTCAGTGCCCATAAAATGCGAAGGCATGCCAAGTGGTCCACGGTGACTTAACATGCTTCAAGAATTCAGTGAATGACGTTGGAACTGGTTGAACACCATACGTATCTTAGTATTAGCTCAGACGGTAGTGTGAAAGATGATGTCAACGCAGGAATCTCAAAGATCAGGACTACGTTTGCCAGTTGACATCACTTGTGGCATCAAAAAGGCATCTCAATAACGACGACGTCTCTCAAACGACTACAGTATCAGGCCACAGAGGGGAGCTGTATTGGTGTACGGTTGTCAGACTTGATTTCACACCAGCACAAAAGCGTGCTCGTCCGGATTCATTCACCATCCAAGTTATCATGTGATCACATTCAATGAATAGACGTCACACGGTTGGCTCGACAATATTGACACCCATTCGGTTGGTCCATGTCACTGAATACCGTATATCCCCAAATCCCAAGAAATGGTGCGCTTTTACGGATTGCGTATACCACCGATGGTTCATTCAAGTGCAACCGAGCGAAAAAAACCTAGTTATTAAAACAGCAAGGGGGGAGAGAGGGAAGTGGGTAGTGCTAACATTTCCACAAATATTCCGGGACAATTTGATGGTATAGGCTCGTGTTTGTAGGTTATGTCCGCCAGTAGGATACTGAGGAGCGAGCGACTGGACTTAATCGAAGAACGTTCCCAACATTTGTAGGCATCGACCATAAACCACCGGAACAAAAAAAACTTACTGATCCAGCCAGTTCAAACCGATCGGTGACTCTCTGAGAAATGCTAGCGCCGAAGCTCTTGCCCCAGTTGGAGATGAGTCCATGGAATGCAAACTCAGGGACTTGGTAGCCCACAGCAAAGTTGGCCCTTTGTAATTGCCGGTTGGTACTATCCAACTTGAAGTCGACACCAGCCAGGTAACCTAAATGACTAGGATAAGGGCGAAAAAGATGACGAAATTTCCCCATACAAGGTGAGGAGTGGAGAAATGGGTAAAAGGAATATGGTATTAACTTTAAACAAATGCGCAAAAGGCTCCAGAGCGTCGGGTTCTTCTCAGGAAGTTGTTGAAACCATTTGGTTTACTTCGGCGAAAATACATAGAGAATCTTCCCTACCAGCTTTCCCAGAATGGCGAATGAAACCTAAAAAACCCAAACAGAAGGATTTTTCAATTTCGGTCCTCCCGCTCCCACGTCGTCACCGAAATCAAGAAACTCCAACAACGGTTACCACTTCAGTAAAAGGCTACCTGGCCATACCAAGAGAAAAGCTGTCGGATCAAAATAAGTGCAAAATTTGCAGCCAAGCACCATGCTCTGCAGTTACCGAAATAATTTTGATTGCGTTGTGTCTGGAACGCTCCAATGATGTCGATAAGCGAGTTTGACTTCCCACCACCCCGCAGACAGTGACCACCACCTGAATCATCTATATTGCCATCAACTATGGGACATACCATGTAGTGCTGCGAACACTATTGGCTCAGTTTGAAGCTCGTGTAGACGAACGGTAATAATAATGACAACACGATAAGAAGAACGATTTAGCCATGGCACGATTTCGGTCCGTAACTGCAACTGAATTCGAAGGAAGCTGCTTCTAGGTTGCTCAAACATAGGAGCACGCAAAAAGCCACAGTCCGGTTCAGACAACGGAGTTCCTCATCAGCGATTCCGTAGCTTAAGGCGCGGAGTTGTTAGTATGTACCGACACTCAGGATGGGCTAACCGTGACCCGTGCTGTCTGGCTGGAGATGTTGCAAGAAACGTCGGTTAACCGGTACGGGCAAGTTCTTGGTATCAGTTGCTTTCTGGATTGTGTGACTGGGCGTTTGGAGGGTTACGTCCCGTGGAAGGTAGTTTAGCATTGGGCCAGTTCCCCATCCGGAATTTTTCACTTTAAGGTCTCAAACACAACTAAATAAGCTTATTAGTCAGCGAGGTATTATTTAACACCACCTTTGGTGGTGGAAGTGACTTCGATTTCGTGACTTCCTGCCCCCTCGCAACAACCCAATCCGGTTGAACCCATTTACTCTCCGGTTTTTTTTATCACATTTATTCCATCCATCATTTGGGCGTGCGCAAAACACAATTCTTCAATGACCGTCTTCCATCGCCATGGGCGAAGATCCTATTAACTGTCTGGGGAGGGGTAAAAGATCAGTGGATAGGGCACGAAATTACTGACCGGAAGGTTCTGGTTCGAACCCGACTTCTGCATCTCAATATATCCTGTTTAGGCCCGGGCAACCTGGCAGTATCCCAGCCCTCGTGCTTCCTTCGGGTGGCATGGTAACTAGGAACCAGAAGAGTGTTATAGCCGAACGATTATCTTTTTTATATTATCATCATGTTCCAATTGGGTTCATAAATGTCTTGAAGTTAGTGGCCTCCAAGTAAGTCGATGTGAGCGTTTGTGTTGAAAGTTCGTACTTACCAGGAGCAGACGATGATCAACACACAACTGAGGTAGCAACTGACCATTATCCGTACGCTGAGCATCGACTCCAAATCAACCACCTAACTGTGCTTCTTCCGGAATTAGTCGGCCAACTTGAAAATCCATATCACCCGCTGGGATTACAATACCTGTCCTTGCTGGTCGAAGCAGACTTTGATAAATCCCGTCCTTCTCAGGCTCAGAACTGCTCTATCGGGGCGTATGCCGACAACAACAAATAAACACGCATCGGCCTGCGTTGACCTTAATTGAACCGGACAACCGTACAATGCAGAAACGACTGTTTGCTATGATCCTTGGGGATGAGTGCAACACCCACACCATAGATATCGAGAGCCACCGCGTCAGGATTACCAGACACCTGAAAAGCATTCGAACATCTGAGCTCTTCCTAATCAGCTTGAACTGCAAGACTGCAGTGGGGTCTTGTATTCGTGTTCCGGAGGTACAGCACACATCGACAGATAGGGCGAGCAAGGTTTCAGCAAGAGAGTACGGCCATTGAAGGCTGCAACGTGGATTAGGTTAGTGGGCGATTACTTTGACTTGTTTTTCTGGAAGAGGGTTTCGACACAGAACAATGGCACTGCATCCTTTGATGGGTGGGGAGGGGCGTGGGTCGATGAGTAAGCAGCTGCAAGTGTGGATGATGCTTCCCGGTTGCATGAACCGAGGAAGGGGTTTAGGGTGCGGTGCCTGACCTTAAGCCTTTGCCTCAAAATACTGACCCACAAGGCAGTGGAAAGATGCATGGTTTTGTTCAGAGACTCTGGGCTAGAAGCTGACTCAAAAGAGTGAACCCTGAGGCAACGGCTCTCATGGTTTTGATGGGGGACCTCCTCGGAGCCAATGACCCAATGGCCTGGCCCGAGGAGGCAGGAAGCAATGGATTACTGTCTAGCTCCTTATATAATCCACACAGCAGGTGCCTTTTGAACAGCACCGAACTCCTTGGACTTAAAAGTTTTCGACCGTATTGAAAATGCTCCGTCTGTCACGGTCAAGCGTTAAGTGATTGGAGTGCGCGGTTTTCGGCACCCATCGTATCTAACACGTCCTGCTCGGGGGGAGGCAGCATGGATAATTCCATAAATATGGACATGCTGGTCGCCTGGGGGAGACGCCTTACTATGTTCACACTCCTATCGCAGAGGACATTACGACTTTACCTCCAGGTAGCCTCGCAATGCGATTCCTACAAAAAGTCCCTGTTCTTCATCGGGTTGCTCTCCTTTGGCCTTCCTGGCATGCTTGAACCATTGGGTACTGAGTTGAAGCCGGTATAGCCCGCAGAAGCATTGCAGCACAGAAGCCAGACCACCACGACAGGGCGATAGCGACAACACTCCGAACCCTGTGAGACCGATGCGCTAAATCACCGGGACACCTTGGCGTTATCCAGCCCTCGTGCTTCCTCTGGGTTGCATGGCAGCTGGACACCGAAAGGGTGTTACGGCTGGACGATTACTTCGTTTTTTCTATCCAGAAAGCTAAGATGTTTTGAATCATCTTTTCAGCAGCTCGGTGATCACTGTACAAAACAAAATACCATCACGGGTAATGGAATTCCAGTCTGGAATAGCCCTCAAAGTACGCTTGGACAAGTAATAATCATGGTCCCAAGAAGAAACAGGAGCGACTATTTCCGAAGCTGATCTAAGGGCCGCACGTACCAGGACCAATGGTTTTGTTCAGTTGGGCATGCAGTAGATTCCTTCCTCAGGATATTCACGCTGGTAAGTCTCACTCCTACACATCCACTAATGTTGTTCACGAATGGAGATTGACGCCCATTAGGTATACATGGACCGACTAATTTTTGTAGCTTTGAGCAGGTTACCATCCCAAGCGAATCAGTGTGGCGGCTGTTTGTTTACTGTCCCTCAATTTCATCCTCACTCACCCCATTTTGCCAAGCTGGATGGTAACGTGTAATCCGTAGCCAAAAGTATATTGTGGAGGTAGAGAATACAGCGCATGAATCGCTTCGGGTCATTACTGCATTCTTTCGCTTTCCCAAAATAAGTCCACTGTTACCGCTAGGCCATCATGCTCCTAACGCAGTTCTGGTCGAGTCTCACACTGCGAAAATTAGACGATACATTCGAGGTGAACCTCCAAAATCCTGAGAACGCTAAATGGGACATCAGTGGACTGAAAACATACTCTGATCACTGACTGTCATGATGTGACTTGGATCTCTTCAGTATGAGCCTATCGTATTTTACACTTTGGTCGGACCAGTACGCAGGATTGGATTTGGATCTTTGGTCCACAGCATGCTTCATCATCATCATCGTCATCATCATCATCAAAGGTGATGTCAACACCCCACTGTTGACAGTTATTTTTCACCGCCGTACAACCATAAGGTTCGTCTAATTATATTTAAAGCCCTAGAGTGAAAAGAGGGAAGAGACCTGGTGCTGGCCTATATCAAGCACTATGGACGCCCAATAAGACAAGCTGGAAAGAAACTGACAGCACGAACGCCACTGACATCGATTAGCCGCCATTTCTTGCAATGTCGCCAGCCAAGCACAGGTGGGGTCACGGGGACCCCATCCTAGAAGACGTACAACACCAACACCCAAACTCTTCGTGATCTCTTTTACACACGTCTACCAAGTCATGTGTTGTCCACTCCGCGTTTTGCGCCATCCCGAAGGAGGCACGGAGAACTACTCGTCTCATTAACGGTGTTTCGTCATGCGTAGTACATGACTGAGCCATTGTAGTCGGTGGTGTTGGATGTTTTCCCCGATTAAAGTACCTGTCGCACAACCAAATACGCGTTTTCTAATCATCTCATTACTAACAAGCTGACGCCATCCAAAACCAGCCACGCTTCTGAGACATAGGTGATTGACGACCTGAAGATGCTTTACACCATCTGTCCGCAGAGGGCATGCCTCACCCATTCAACGCAGCTATTATTGTAGCCTAGTACACGCGACCCATAAGATCTACTGATATACCCTTTTGGCGCCAGTGACGCAGATTAGCAGACGTGGTTTGGGCCTTTGAGCGTTGACTTAATCACACACATTTCCATCTGAGATAATATAACTACCGAGGTAAGTACCATTCTCCACTAGCTCAGTGATTTTCCCTGAATTGCAAGGGAAGTGTTCGGAGACTGCACGTTCTGAAGCATGACTGCACTTTAAGGGTGCAAAGCGCATGCCAAAAGATGGCAAGATGGTGATCAGTTCATTCAATAAGGCTTGTACTTCGACTTGGTCTTCAGAGATGAGGGCAATGTCACCTGTGTGCTCCAGATCGACAACGCTCTCACCAGCAACAATTTGAACACCGGGGTTTTGAATACTTTCCAGCGTTCGCCTCATTACTTCATCAATTACGAAGTTGAACAAGAATGGAGAGAGTGGACATCCTTGTCTGACACCACTTTTGTAGGGAAGCTTCTGGAGAGCTCACCATACAGTCTCAGCCGCCCAGAAGTATGCGAATACAGAGGTCGGATTGTGTTCACAAACTTCTGTGGCATACCCTGTTGAGCAAGTGTAATTAACAGCACTGACCGGTTGACAGAATCAAACGCACCCCTGAAGTCAAGAAATGCCGAAATTGTGGGTCGAGTATACATATGGCGTTCCCCTAGCACCCGAAGGTGCAAAGATGTGGTCAACGCAGCCTCTACCCGGTCGGAATCCCGGTTGATTCTCACGAGTCAAGGTTTCGTGTGCCACTGTAAGACGACGAAGAATCAGTGACGCCAGAAGCCTTGTCACAACAGAAGTCAAACCAACACCTCTGTGGTTACTGCATTCACTGCGAATACCCTTTTTGAAAACGGGCACTACTATCGAATCACCCCAGTTGTCTGGGACGGTCTCTCTCCCAGATAGACCCAAATAGGCTAGACAGACACTGACTGAGAAGTTCACCGCCATCATTGAAAAGAGCAGGTGGAAGGTCATCAGGACCGGCAGCACGATGACGCTTGAGTAGGGAAATACACTCGGACACTTCTGAGACTGGAGGCGGCTCCATATTCATGGTTCACCTTTCTGTTGAAGGCCAGGATTCTGGACTAGAGGTACTGGGTGGTCGGCTCAATGGTTTTCAAAGTGCTGAGCCCAACGTTCCAAACGTTTTGATTTGCTGCATATCGGAGCCATTTTGGACCCTGATCATTTTGCTGACAAGAAGTTCTCAGGGATCAGTCGAACGAACCAAGTGGTACAGCTTGTGGACGTTTTCAACATTCTTTGTATTTTCCATTTCTTCGGCCCTTCAGGTTTACAAGGCTTCTCGATCTGCACGGACACCCAGTTTCACCTTGCATCGGAGGGTACGTCAGGTGGAGTTGTGGTTGCGGCCAGGAGGAATCAGTCGACCGGCAGAGCATGCTTCCTAGGGAAAAGCTGTGGACACGGCCGACGAAACACGGTTGATACGCGTTCCCCATAAAGATTGAATCTGGCTTGTGGGTCCGTTCACTTAGGAACGGTGACTGGGGGTAGCACCGGTGCCATGTACTGTCCAAATATCTAATCTACCTTGGTGTATGAAGTCGTTCAGCTGTAGCACCGTTTGGGTGCCTAGCTGCCATGCCACACGAAGGAGGCACGAGGGCTAGGATACTGCCAGTTTTCCCAAGCCTAGACAGGGCAAGCCGAGTGGCAGAGGTCGGGTTCGAACCACGGGCCTTCCGGTCAGTAAATTCGCGCTATAACCACTTGAGCCATCTCACCCACCTCGGTGCATGGCACAGTAGAGGCTTCGGAAGGCTTGAGGGGCCTACGGTCAAAAACGACAGCGGGACGGAAATTTGTCTGAATGTAAAGGTCCAGTGGCTGTCAGTGACCAACGACGCTGTCCTAACAACTTTAACCCAGCTGGTCCCAAACAACACTGGGACACGATGAACTGGAACCCAAGTTGAATCTTTCTTGGAGGAACCAATTCAGTTGCGTGACAGTATTATTCAACAAACGCTAATTTTTTAAAGGTGTTAGGAAAACAGGAAGAACGCGGGTTTCTCTAGCTTATAAAGGAAACTGGACAAAACTAACCTTACGACCAGAGATGGTGTGATGTCAGGAATAGCCGACTTAAAAAAGACATCTACATTTGCGTTCAATGTGTCCGACTTAAAACCGTTGGTAATACTTGCACTAGATAGGCTACAGAAATAAGTGACACAATTGCTATACAAACCCGTCGTAAATCTGTCGCGAGTAGCAAAATGTTTGCTTCATCCCCTTTACTAGTTTATCTTCAATCGTGAGTTCGGACTTCAGAACATCTTCAGAAGTCCACTTCTCACAATATGTAGCACCGTATGAGGGGAAACTGATTTTTCCTTCTATATCAGAAGCTATCTGGAGTAGGTCATTCACTGAGCAATGGGACAAATACCTTCTTCGCCTTAAAATGCTGGTTGAAGTTCGACGACAGTTTGTGATCGCCAACGGATGAACCAAATTTAACGTTCAATACACCAAAGAAGTAGTTTTTCGTCAGCAAATCTTTAGCATCTTTACCCAAATCGGAGAAAGACGGCGGAGCCATGAGTACCAGTACCGGTAACCAGCTATGAACAGGACAGTAAAGCGATTGACCTGCGGAAAATCCAGCGTGCTGATTGGCTTAGCTCAGCGCAGACTCCAGGAGGCCGTGGAAAGACCAAATACCACCCAGTTCCTTGTACATTTAAGCTCCGAGGATCTTTTCATGCCGTAACGATAGAGTATTCCACATGTATTCTGGCTTAGATATGCTTGTTTGTACGTGATTGAATGTCGTTCGTTAGGCATCACACTCAAAACTGTATCCGCAACTAATCCCGGCGACTATCCAGGCTTCATGCTGGAGTAAAGAATGTGCAAGTCAAGTCGCCAATCATTTCGCGTTTTCCCACGAAGCCACCAGATGAAACTAAGTTTTTCAGTTTTCCTGAAAACAAGGGAAATTATCACAAGATGTTGAAAGGAACGGAGAGACATATCGAAAACCTAATCGTTAACGATAAAGACGAAGGGAAGCATGATTTACCCAAAACATTTGGCCCCCGGGCCACCACAGATAATCAGATAATACGGTTTTTAACATATATCCGCTTTTATTGTGACGATAGCAAAATGAATTAGCCCAATGGATAATAAGAGCTTGTTCCGGTGATCAACGGCCTCATTACAAGCGAATCGTCCTTCTTTTCAGTTTGAGAGTTGCGTCAAGAGTTGCATTCCGTAGAGCTTTATCGTCCATGTTGAACAAGCCATTCAGCACTTTGATGGCTACAATAGGAGCCCTTGACACCATCTGTTTTGGCATGAGAAACACATGTCATCCGGAAGTACCTGCTATCGAGATAATAAAAACTCCTCCACGTTATTTGCGGGGACACTTCAGTGCAAATGAGCACAAATTAGGACGAAGGATGTGTAATGCCTGTTCTGCTAACTCCCATTTGGTCACTCGTTCCTCACTTCGGGCCTTTTGGTAGGTCTTAATCCCGGATCATCTCTCTAACTAGACGGTGCCACTTCTACTTTTTTGCACTTGCTTCATTTACGGCACAAGTCCGCCCGCCTTCTCTGTGGACTTTACACTCAATGTTTGTTCTAGTCCTTAAATGTACGATAGATCCAAGCTGCATCTGGTAGAGTGCCTCTGAATTTCGTCACCCTTCGGTAAAACGAATTGACTTTGGTGGGTCACAGGACTTGTGGTACCACAACCTGCACATATTGCATGCACACACTGTTTTAACCTGCCGCCTGCGTATCGAAGATCCGTATTTATGCGGTTTGGTAGCGGAAAAATTTCTTACAGTCTTGTGGGTATGCGGCCGCCATTGTCACTTCTGGAGGTCTCACAACCTTAAAGGAGATTATTTGTGCCTAATGGTCTAAAAGATTATCATATTTGGAGGTGTTGTCTATTTCAGTGGACCCGGTAGTGTTGTGTGCTTCCAAAAGGATTTTACAGGGATTTCATAGAAAACTCTGTGGTTTCTCTTTTATTTCTAGCCGTTCCAGCTCCGATTCCCTCCAAAACTATTCGGAATATAAGTCAAATTCCCTGCCATTATTTACATACAGTAAAGCAGTCTTACAATCATTAGTAGCTGTATACACGAGACATTGGAGGATACGAAGAACAGGAGTTGCTGTGACAGACCCCTAAACTTGTCTCTCACATCCGCGCGCCAACCTGCATTGAAATATCTTTAGCTGCTGCTTATTGTTCACCTGCATCACCGCTGTGTGTCCTTTGGCGTTTGGCCTTGGTTCATCTTCGTCCGTGAAGTCCCGTGCACTCTGAGTTGCTCAACTGTGCCTTTCGTCGCCCACAGTGGGACGATTTGAGCTTCTCCCAGAAAAGCCTCACTCCTTTCTCTCCTAGAATAATGGGTGCATTTTTCTGTGAGTCTAACTGAACTCGCAGGGAGGAAGTATTATTCAGGTCTCAGGCAAAATGCCAGAGTACGCCATGAGCGCATCATCTCCAAGTGGGATGAGGGAACACACGTTCTCCTTACGTATCGGGAATATCATTGAAACTTGCTCTGACCGAGATTTCATGTCAACAGTTGACAGCTTATTCTAACCGCCTACCATTCTGTTTTCGCAGATAACTGAAAGTACCCCAAAGTTTGTCGCTTACCCGAAAAGGTCAAGAAGAGCCCCTGTCCTAGAGACTGATGATTGCTTTCATTTTCGAGAGTATAACAGCAAATCCACTGGTCTTTTTGCATGATGCGAACGTTGCATCCACCTCCATTCCGTTGTAGTCGATGAACGTCTATGAGAGTTATGCTTTTTCCCTGAGGCGGAAGCAAAACGTCTAAGCAATATTTCAGGTGGGGGTATTTTACTTCGCCACGGAAAGTCGAAATCAGATAAGTTGTGCTCGAACAGTATCCTGCGAAGTTCAAGCGGTTTAAATAGTTCTATGCCAACAACCCCAAATTCCGGAATTCAACAACCCCCGGTTGACTGCCCTTGGCTGTTGACTGAAACTGCATTCGTTTAGTAGAAATGCCAATGTCTGCTCCGCGGGCCGGCTTAGCGCATTGTCAACCAAGCATCCCCTTGTACTGATCAAGAAAAAGCACATATTGCGCCAGTCTGTAACCTCGTTGTGATCATGCTGCACGTCCTCCAGCTCGCTTCAGGTATAAATAAGTTGTACCTCGTAAGCAAAGAAAATGTCCGCGCTTGATCCTAAATGGAACAATGACGTAGATGCGAAATAACAAGAAAAGCATCGAGGAATCTTGTCATGTACAGCTGCTTGCCACAGCAAAATTTTTATATTGATGAAAGAGAGCGTTGCTGGCAAATTTGACACAATCAGTTGAGATGGTCTAACAGCGATTTATGTTTGGATATCTCTTTAGGCTTTTCAGAGATCGCATTAGCTCGATGATAGATGCACAGGATAAGGCCGATAGTTCACGGTTCAAAACCAGCCTCGGTCTCTTGACCGCGGCCGTCTAGGCCTGGGCGAACCGGCAAACATTCTCCGTGCCTCCCAGAGTCAGTACTACAGTTATGTGCCTACGGGGTCTTAAAGCTGGGGGATCATCAGGTATTTCCGCGACTCATTTGCCACCAAACGTATTCAGACACTTAATCTCCGTCCACGCCCACGTGTACAAGTAATGCGCTCGATGACTGCTTTAAATAAAGCCGTTAAAAAACCAGAGGGAGATAGCAAAGTAGATTATATAAAAGATACGCTTTTGGCACATACCTTCATGCGCCGGAGGAGGCCGCACCAGACGGAGCCTTTCGAGCGACAGTTAGCCTTGAGAGCTGGAACGGACTCACAATAGCTGCTGCATATCCCACGCCGAGGAGCAAAACTATGCCACAGAGTATTAGAGTAGCGGCTAAGCAGTGTTGAACTTCAGGAGACGTGTCAAGATTTGGCCGCCACCATATAAGTTTGGTGCCCAGTGGGATATCCAGCCATCACAGTGACGTCCTGCACAAAGTGAGGCTTGCGACAGACTAATCATGATAAAACACGTCTATCAGGTACCCACTTCAGTAGCAATAGTTCTTGTGGGAATTCCACTGGATTCTGTTTGATGAGTTCGCTTTGTCACCTATGCAGACACCAAGTGGTTTGGAAAAATAGGTATCCAGAGAATGTTTACCAAATTCAAACTCATCCAGTCACATATCATCATCCACCCAAAGTTAAATCCTATATCACCCATAGCCTTACAAATGTTGACTTAAACAGTGTTTAATCACGTGCACTCACATCTGCGCGGCCAGGCGCACCTCGATGCGTGCCCTTGATCCATACACCATGTGAAGCTATAATAGTTTATTCATGTTGACCGGTGTTATTGTTATCCGCGCAGCCGTGTAGACTACCTTTTTTAATGTTTGCTTGTGCGAGCACATGTAGCCATCAAACCGTCGTGTACTCCCGCTCTGCGGATTTCCTCTGATAAATTTTCTAAGCTCCCACCCCCTTAATAGGACAACCGCCAAATATCAAAAAGGGTTCAAATAAGGCAATTATTCGAATAAGCTATTGTTAGCCAAGGGAAGGTGTTTTTGGTGCTCATCGCAGGTAGATGGCAGGCACTCGAATAGGTTCCTTTGTGTCAGAGAATACTATCGAGGAAATTTAAAAGTAGTCCATTTTCTAGCGTCAAATTTCCGCCAATTACCTCAATGAAAGTGTAGGTTAATATAAAAATACGTAATCGCCTTGAAGTGTTTGTTTATGGTTGCTTATTCACCCAAAAATCGTAAAGCTTAGTACCATTGGCCGCGGTTTGTCTGCGTCCACCGCATTACCGAACTCTATAACACGCTTGCGTTAGCTCTGGGAGGTGCTGAATAGCATCCCATCATTGTTCATAAAATTAAGCTATCTAAGGGTATCTATGGTTGTGTCGACCTTCGCAGCTCAAATTTCTATCAAGCTATTACGCCTAGCTACTTTGGGCGTTACTGGCAACTTGCTTTAACCCACTCAGCTGAGTCGTTCCGACTACGGCATCAGCTGCACTGACGGTCATGACTTTCGACAAATCTATGAGTTTCAAAGTACTCTCTACGATAGCTTGCTCCATAAGAGCGCTGATTACTGCAACGGCGTGAGGAGCTTATGCGATCCTTATTGGTTGGCACATGAATCATGGGGTAATCACGGTGGTGAAGCCTATTGCTGGCCATCGGTTGTCAAATATGCGTCCAAAATGAGGGCGCAGTGGCTACTGCAAAGAAAAGCCAAAACAAGTGGTGGAGTCAGTGAAAGTTACTAGCCCCTTGCTGAGGATATATCAGCTGCATTTTACTTGGGTAGATGCCTTCTATTGACTGCCAAAGAGGAAAATCAAATGTCTGAAAACACCTAATTTTGCAGGATAGTTATCTTAAGCAATCTGTGCGCTGAACAATGCGGTTCATGAAGAAGGTTGAACACTTTTATCCGAAAGAATGTGGCTGCATATGAATTCCGTTCAAAGGAGACGCGACCAGCAAACTTATTATCTGTAGCCTTAGACGTCCTAATACTGCGGAATACTTCACTAAATTTGTGTGCCCCAGTCTTATTTCC